AACTTAATTGTTGTAAAACACTTTGCAAACATATTAAAAAATTAACAATATATATATATATATATATATATATATATATATATAATAAAGAAATTAATACAAATAATAATTTTAAATAGCTTTTATATAATTAAAATTTTTTTTATTGTTTAAAAGATAGTTTACAATAATCTGTAATAAAATTTGTTCGTAATCAGATGGTTAATTATCTTTTAATATATAAAATATATCTATACAACTTTATACATTGTATTTCAATTGCATAAAATTTATTGCACAAAATTTATATTTTTAATTTATATTTTCAACGTAATATGATAGTAATAGATACAAAGTAAATATTTTATAAATGTCAGAAATAATGTTTTTATATTTCTAATGATTATGAAAAATTGCGCAACTCTTGAACCTACCCCCGATTGCACAAATTGCGTTCTCGCATCGGCCACGCCTATCGTGTAACGACGATGTTACAAAAGAGGTCAGCGCGAATCGAAGAAACGGAAATGCACATACATGTCGATAATCGCAAGTTAAACGTTCGGATGTTTTAGTAAAAGTACGATCGTTTCCGTACTTTTCTTTATTTCTCGTATAACGATGCCGAACTAACATAAAAGTTTCATAAGTCGAATTTTTGATGTACGTGTGCAGGCGCATGATCTTTATGTATGAAGGGTGCTTATATGGCCGACAAACATCGATAACCTACTGACCCTGTGTCTTGCGCTTGCTAGCCACTTGAATCCTTCGCTATTCAACTCTATTCGTAGTATAAGCTCCTCGTTGTCTCTCGGTTATTTTGCACCGCAAATAGAAATGTGTAGGTACATGGGCGTAGATGCAGAGATAAAAGTGGGGAACGAGTCGAGGTCATGAGAATCTAAACGCATTCCATTGCGTACGTATGTATACATGTACAAACTTACCCCTTAGCAAATATATATATGTATATATATTTGCGGAGGGGTGAGTTTGTATATGTATATGTATATGTATATGTATATGTATATGTATATTATGCGATGGTGTCCGTTACGAGAACTAACCGCAGAGCAATGGAGAGATTCTATTATCGCAAGCTTACGCAAGCATTGGCTTTTATTCCCGCGTTCCGCGGTCGACCGATTGTCAAATAGCACACATACACAGTTTTCATTATACGATTTTAATTCATCCTATTTTTACATGTCAAACACGAATGGCTTGAAACAAAAGTTTTACATTTAAAAAATTATAAAGGTTTACAAAAGAATAAAAAAAATTTATGACAAATTATAATTAATTTATTAAACTTAGGAAACTTAATGCTGTGTATCGAGGCATTATTTTTTATTTATAGCGGCTATATTTATTAAAAAGTTTTATTTTGAGGAACTATTTAAAGTGGTTCAAATATTATTTTTCATGAAAAAATTAAAAAAGAATTTATGCTGAGAAATTATATATATAGCTCTCGAAATACAACGTCTTGCATAAAGGTTGAGGCTTCTTTTGTGACGCATCATGAGCAAAGATACGCGCTTGAGGGTTAATAGGTCGCGCCGAGATTAGCGGACCGAACCCCTTGTTCGATATGCGAGAGTAAATAAGAGAATCGAGCATCCCTGCACCTGTCGTTGCACAAGTTGAGCAGCAACCTGCGCACCAACAGGTGCATGCGCAAACGCACAGCAACTCCCGCGACTTTGGCTCTTCTTTTGCTGTCCTTGTTTCTTTGCTCTCGTTGCGATTATAATGCGATCGCGAATCGGATAGATGATTAATTGTCACATGATAATATCTAATTCATCAATCTGTCAGTATATGAGTCACGATGTCAGTTATATGACGGACTTATTGTCCGCCTGATACAGAAGACATATTGCTCGCCACGATAAATTTTACAACGACCGATTGTTCTTATCGTCTTCCGTCGTGCAAGGAAACTATGCCATAAAATTCAATAAAACTTCGCGTCGCTCGCATGCGCGCCAACCCGTTATATATAATCCGCGTAGGATTATTTTTTTAATCCCCCTTTCTTCCCTCCAAGTCCTTTTGCGGTTACAAAAAGAAAAACGAAATACATATACATACGCGACACAAAGCGCAGAATAAAAGAGCTGCGAATAAATAATGTACAACTGCAGATCGGTGCATTCAATCTATCGATATAAGAGTAATTCAAGTTTTACACTGTATAAAATGTACCTTATATAAATCGAATACATGTTAGATCTGTTGGCTACATTTTTTTATTGTACCAAAGATTCTGATGTAATCGTCTCACTTGGGTTACGAAAAATTTTTAAAATTACATTATCCGGAAAAAGATCTTTATATACTAAAAGAAGTCTACTGAAAAAATCTTAGAAAATTCTAAAATTATATAACATTATATGAAATTACATACGATTCTTTTGCTGGAGAAAATTACAATGTAAAAAAACAAATGCAAAACAACAGCAATGGATCTAAAGCAATGGATCTCTTTTTACATCTTTTAATAATTTTTCATTATTATCCTTGGTATCGGAAAATAAAATTGTCGCAAAAATGTGGCTTGAGAATCAGCACACTTGGCAAATAAATGTATTCAAATAGTCAGCGCAGATTTATGATTCGATTTTTCGTAAACTCAATTCTCTCAAATCGAATATTCATCTCTGTAGGTTGGTGGAGTAACAATCATCGCGAAACGTTCAACTGTCAGCTGTTAGCTGTTACCAATTGACAATCATGCAGCGCGTCGCGTTCCCTCCCAGCACCCCCAGCATTGCATATCAACCCCTTCGCTCGTTTCGCTTCCAAAGCGTAGCTTCCCCCTTCTCCTATTCCACGTTGCGGGAACTACAACCGGCTATATATCCTATAGCGCCATCCACCCTCTCTCTTCGTGGCATCCCTCCCTGCCGTTTTCTCCGTTAGCCATCCTCCTCTCGTTCCTGCAATCCCCCTTCGACCACCACAAGCACCGTGGTATTGATTCCCCTCGCGGTAGCAGCTCCTCTTCCCTGTTCTCCAGCGGCAGTCCGGAGCGAAGCGCGTTCGCGGCTGCGGACTTGGTGACATTCGCTTGTAACAGAAGGGGAGGAAGAAAAAGAGAGAAAGAAATAAAAAAAGAAAGAGAAACAATAAAGAGCCCCTTACTCGAGGATCTTATTTGCGCGGATTCAGTCGCTGATGCCGCTGTTTTTTGCCAAAGGGGGTGATAAAATCCCGTGACGATGACAAGTATCCTCGGCGACCCCGAGTGCAACGGGGCCCATCGATCGACGGACATTTATTAGACGCGATACACGAGCGGGAATCTCGATCTCGTGGAGAACCGATCCTGTCTCGCAGCATTCAACGCGACTCGCATCAACGAGCCGGGCGCGCTCGAAGGGAGAGAGAGGGAGAGAAAGGGAGAGAGAAAACAGCGCCGTTGATGCGCGGATGCGCGGGCGCCGGAAGTCGCCGAGCCGCGCGCGACACATCCCCGGACGACACGTCGGCAGCGGCGCCAACGGCTGTCATCCGCTCGACGGAAAACGCTGTGAGAACGCGCGTTTATGCGTAAACGCGTCCGATTTCGTCGCGTGTTCACCGCACACAGTGCACTCCTCCATCGCGAAGAGAATATTCGTCGGAGACCGCATCGAGCGTAAACGTGGGAATCTGGAGCAACCTGTCGCACGCAAGACTAATTGTTTCCATGCTTTTAAGGGAACATCCTGGAATAGTCCTTGTGTTGAAACGTGAATCGGAAGTGCGGGGATGCAGCATCACCGATAAATTCAACGAGCAGGATTTACATTAGAAGAATTTCTCCGAAGAATACAAAATATATGGGAGTCACTCTGATTTCTTGAAATTGCGTAATCGAGGTGGTGAAGGAGGAATTTCTGCAGGATGTCATTGGCATTGACGACGAATCCTCGCGTCACGATGCGGACCGGAAGTTAGAGCGCGCGGTTACAATGGGATCTTCTTCTTGAGGGACTCGCGTATGTGAAATTCGGTCGCACGTGCGTGCGAGATTGAAGCGAGAAGCGACGCGGCATGCCGGCGCACTTCGACGATGACAACATCGTCATTGGTACCTGGATCCTCTTCTTTCCTCACACTTACGATCATCTCGAGGCTGATTTCCACCGCGGGATGATTTTCGGAGAATCGAAAAACAGGTCAATCAATTAGCAAACGATTGACTCCAGCTTATTGATATATTAAAGACAAAACGAGGACATTTTATTGAAATATCGCGTGAAGAATTAATATATTTGACGAAGAGGGAGACAGAGAAATCAAATAAGCTGTGAACGAATATATCGAGAGAAAAGAGGATCAGCTAGAGTGATATATTGAAGTAATACATTCTAGATAGATGTTAGAGATTAGATAAGGAGAGGACTAAAAGAGGGTAACAGTTTACAGCGCATTTTTCCGTGAGAGAGGAGAAAATCGATGCTTTGAGAGGACATCTATAGCGATGTGTGGGAAAGAAGGGAAATCAGCTGGAGAGGAGCGAGAATCAACATTTAAAGAAGATATCTATATGTATACTTAAGCAGAACAAGAGAGTATTTTTCTATGGTAAATTCGTTTCTATTACGCGTATAATAGCGAGAGAGAAAAAATATCCTATATATTATCAATTCCCCTTCTCTCCCCGTCAAAGAGGTGGGAGTTGAAGTGGCGTCGTCTACTATTGTCCAGTTGCTAGTTTCTTGGACAAACAAGGATTCTTGAGAAATTCTCTTAGAATTTTAGTAGAGAATTCTTCTTCTGCGTATAAGTACCTGCGGACACTTGCGGCGATCCTTCGCCGCTCTCATGCTTCTTCGTGCATCATCGCTCATAACTTTAGAGATTCTTGAAATAATTAGATTGTAGTCTCGTAAAGTTATTATTAAGGAACTTGACGCATCCTTCTTAATCGGGGCTGCGGTTGATTTTAATAGTGCAAAAGACGTTTGCCTTAAGTAGAGGATTTTATTTATAAACTCAAGGAAATTTCGGGTTCAAAATAGACTCGTCGTAAACTTGACGGACCTGAATACACGTGATGAAACAGCTGTTCTACCGTCGTCCAACTTTCGCTCTTCTCGCTAATCGATGATGGCCGCGTCATGGGGCGTTCCATGTTTACAGATCGTTAATATTTCATTGAACACAATCGTGATCGACGCGCCATTAACGTCTGACAAATTGAAATCTGAACAGCTGGCGTACAATCGCGACGAACACTTTGAGAGCATCGAGAATTTGAACTTTGAGGATCTCGCGGTGCAATAAGACCATAAGAAGTACAAAGCATTTGCAAAACGATATCATCGAGCTTATACACCGCGACAATCGATCGTAAAAGGGAATATCTCATCGAGCCATGTGGATGATTCTTCTACCGTCCGCGAGACAATAATAACGCCATCAGTGAAGGAACGAGACGTCATGGCCAACATTGCAATGACACTTTCGCCCCGTCATCGGGAAGCTGAGGATCCCGTCCGACAATCCTCCTTCCCCTAGAAGTCGTCCGATTGCGGACGGTTTCAACATCTCTTCCTCGACTCAAGTTACCGCCGGCGGAAGAACAACGAATAATGGTAGAGCCGAGATGGTCGATCAAGTGTACGAATAGTACCCTGGACCTGTTGGATCCGAGCGACGATAGTTACACGGACCTGAAGACGCAGCATCGGCGACGCTGTTGGAAGTACTTTTGTTGGTGTCGCAGGCACACCATAAGCGTGATATGTATTAACGAGTCGCGCAAATTGTATTGGTTTAACTGCCGGAACGTCCAGGAGAAGGTCACGTACGGCTCGGGCGAGGGCTATTACCACAAGCTACTGCGTCTGGTAAACGGAGCGTTAAATACCTGGGCACAACGTTACATCGACGGCCTAAGCGTGGCGCGTCGTGAAATTATGTTGAAGATCAACGGTAGCGCGGATAACAACATGAGGCTGCTCAAGGAGGGCTGCTACTGTCACTACCATCCGCACATGACGGCGGACGCGTGCAACGCCGATTTTCTCAGAAGAGTCGTAAGTTTCTGGGCCGGCGAGAGCCTCAGGGGAATACGCGAGAGGCTCCGCGGCATGACCAATATTACGAAAAAGGTAGAGGACACGAATCGCGAATCTTCTCTATTCTCTTGGAGGAATGTTTCTCTTGATATATTCAGATTGATATATTATGTATTGTTCCCGAATATATATATATATATATATATATATATATTTCCCTGCCTATGTATTTGTATGAAATGATCGCACGTCGAGGATGCCACCCTCGTACGAGATACCGATCACTTGGCATGTGCTTCGGACAGGAGCGAGGGTAGAGAAAGGGAGGCTCAAATCTGCGCCGAGTTCCGTTTCCGTTGGATTTTCGTTCGTCAACCCCCTAAACTACTCGCACTCATTCTCGTACTCAGAATTGCATCTCATTTACATCGATATCATTAAATATCATATCGTATACTGAAAGATCATTTATCACTTTAAAAACACATTTTTATTTACAAATTAAAAGTTTGATAATCGTGCTTTCAATGCGATAGAAAATAAGGGAGAAAATAAAATGAGGGGATAGACAACGAAATCAGTGGAATTGCTAGACAAAGCATTTTCGCATTTGCGACTGATTGTCCTCTGTTGTGAAGTAGAAATTTCAATTGCAATACAATATTTTGGCATGTATAACCGCGTTGACATATAATATCTTGAAAGCGACATAATCTTCTTATGCAATTAAATGGGCTTCTAAGCTAGTCTCGCTAAAGTTGCATTGGGAAACTAGTTACCGCTTTTAAATAGCATGTGCCGAGTAAAGCCATAAATTAAAATTTCTTTGCATTCGCCACTGTTAATTATTAGTAATGTGAATGTCTCCTTTTGTTTTAATATTTTTTTCCTTAATATGTAATCAGCAATAATACTAATTAATTGTAAATACTATTGTATATATATTTGTATTTAACTAATTAATAGAAAAATGTTTAACATAATTATATAAATTTTAAAATTATATTAAATATTGACCTCTCTCTCAATAAATTGCATTGTAAATTATTATATTATAAACTTTGCATAAATGATAATTTCTAACTAATAATTCCTAAATTATAATTCCTAATACAGTATTAAAAAAATTACTAATAGCCGGAATATATATAAATATATTGTAAATAGAGCAATAACACAATCCATATTTGCAATTCCTAAATATGCACTTTTAGATAGATAAACATCCTTAATTATGTACATATAAAGCATCTTGTCATTGTCAATAATAGACTAGACTCTTATCTTTGCATATAATCACCATTTTTTATCAGCATCATTTTATTTTGCGTTATAATGGCACGATACATTTTTTCTGTGCACATTTCCTCTTTTTTCTACTATAAACATATATATACATATTCATGATACATTATTTTTTTTACATATATGTGTGACTCCACGTACAGTTGCAATTATTTGCAAGTATAAAAAAGAAAAATATAAAAAGAATTTACAAGCATAAAAAAGAAAAATATAAAAAAAAATTATAAAGAGCAAAGAATATCCGATTATTTACTATCAAATTTAACGTGGAGTCGCCCGTATCTGTTTTCGTGACAAACGCATTTGTTGCAGTTGAAGATAAAGCTTGATGTACTTTTCAGATGTCAGACGACGATAGGATGTCACTCACTACTGCCGTCAGTGACGATGACGACGGAGAGAGTGTCATAAATTCGCCCTATCGTGGGAAGCAGACTGGCACAGCTGCGGCTTCTTTCAATTGCACCGGTGCAGTTCGGAAAGCAGGGTACATCGTTTGTACTTTGTTCTATAAAGATAATGAGCCTTGAGGGCCTATATATAAATATCTCTCGGATAATGTTAGGATAAATATGAAGACTGGACAAAGAACTATCTTTCAAATAACATATATTTTTCTCATATTTTAAGAGATATAGTTTGTAAATTTATTTTCTACTTTATAATCAAGAGAAACATTTTATAATATTTTTATATTTAAATATTAATTATTATTTATATATTTTAAAAATAAAAAAATTCGAGATTCTTAAGATGAGTTAAATGTGACATAGAATATAATGTAAGAAAATAATATATGATAAATTTCTGAAATGAAAATTACTGAATTATTTATATTTTATATTGTGCGTATATTTTATATAGCAACAATAAATTTAAATATAAGAAGAAAAATGAAAAATGGCGATGCATTGAAAATTCCAGATTTCTCAGTGTAAAGAAATGGCTACTGCGCAAAAAGCATCAGATCGAGCTAGCTAGGAAGAGAGGTTGGAAGGGTTATTGGGTCTGCTTGAAGGGCACCACGCTTCTCTTTTACCCTTGCGATTCCCAGGAGAGTAGGGCTATGGAGGCAGCACCTAAACATCTAATTATCGTTGATGGTGCAATTATGCAACCAATTCCCGAACATCCGAAGAGAGATTATATATTTTGCCTCAGCACCGCGTTTGGGGATGCCTATCTATTCCAGGTAAAAGAAATTTTAATTTTGACGATCGAAATTAATATAAAAATATAAAACATATATATATATAATTGATTAATAGAGAAAAAATTTATATAATTTATTAATAGAGAAAAAATTTCTATAAGATAAATTACTCTTTACAGTTAACGGTCACCTGAATTAAACTTTTTAATTTTTAAAATTTAAAAAAATTTTTTTAAAGTGTTGAATATCACTGCAAATGACACGCCAATTAAACTCGAAGCAAGTTATTAAAGTGATCGACAAGTGAGAGAAACAATTCGAGATGAAAGTTGAATTCGAATAATTTCGGTTCAGTTTAATCTTTACACTTTGGCAGTTCGAGAGTGCATTAACTGCGTGAATCGCTAACTAGATATATTTAATTAATTCCATTTCACTCACTCTCGCCGAACTCTCATTTCTCAATCACGCAACGGCAAACTTTTAATAGCCTGCAGCTTCTACTTAAAAGCTTGTCACGACTTGAAAAAAATGTGAGCGACATTATGTACATTGCTTCGCAACGATCGATTTGCTTTCAAAGTTTCTCAATGATGCTTAGATATCGAAGTCTTAATCCTTGTTCATAGGAAAAAAATTCGCTTTATATTTTTAGGCGCCGTGTCAAGTGGAGCTGGAAAATTGGGTGAATAGCATTCATTCGGCGTGTGCCGCCGCGTTCGCGCGTCATCGTGGCAAGACCGGCACCCTACATCTTTTGCAAGAGGAGATCTTTCGTCTGGAGAAGGCGATCGAGTCGGTACGTAAAGAAAATATCATTAAATTTATATATAATTTTATTAAGTCTTACTTATTTTAAATGTTGAAGAGAGGGAGAGATTAATTCTAAGCATTGTTTAGTAAAAAGTAGTTAAAAAAACAAAGTTTATATTGGCCTCAGTGTTCGTTAATTTTTACTTCGAAAGAAGAAGAAATTCGCCAGATATAGGAAAAGTTTTTTGCAATCACATTTATCAGATTTTTATTTCACACAAATTATTACAAATTTTTAATAGAATTTGAACATTTTTTATTACAATTTTCACATTTTGTCGCAATGTTTTTTTTAACAAAAAAGAAATAAAATTATTATATTAATTGAGCGTGTCTACTGGCTGCTTACAGGATCACAAGATGAAACACATGGCGGATCTCCAGCAATCAGTGGTTTCCGACGTCGACACCAAGCAGCAAATCAACAATCAAATAGTACAATGGGAAGAGAATCTGGAACGGCTCCATTGCGAGCAATTCCGTTTACGGTGCTATATGGCTAGTTTGCAGAGTGGCGAACTGCCTAATCCGAAAGTAAGTATCAAATATAACATAGGCTATTAATTTTTTATAAAATAAACTGTACAATCGAAAAACATTGCATAATTGTGCAAATATAATTGCTTCGATAGAAAAATCATTTCTCTAATATTTTGTCGATATTTTTTAACAATAAATATTTTTCATTATAATATATTTTTTTATATTTTGTGATCGCATAAATTTATTTAACTACGCGCAATACATGTGTGTACATTATTTTATTTTATTTTAAGAATAATTTTGAGAAACTGTGTTGCGCCAATTCTATTTTTTCAGTCATCCAATGTGACAAAAAATTGAGATATTATATCAATTTTAATTGTATAATCAAATAGAACGTCGTGATTTGACCGTAGCCTTCATAGAAGAAGCCCGTTCTCTTGATTTCTCGAATAAACAACATTACGCGCTGCAATCTCGCTACATTGTCCACTGTCATTGCTTCAATTGTCTGAAAAGCGGGGTCGTCTCTTCCGTTCACAGTCCGCATACAGTCAGAATTTGTTAGCTATCTATCTGCATTACAAGTATTTAATTTGCGCCATTCGTGATTGTATCGATCGTTGCATGAGATATAAGAATCATACATACGTTCTGAATATACAATTAATTAACATTCTCATTGCAATATCAAACAATAGCAATTTACAGTACAAATATCAAACAGATATTTAATTTATTACTAGTATTTCACAGATAATCTATTTTCAATTTTTTAAGAATCTGAATTATATTTTTTTTCAAGAAAGAATATTTTTTCAAATTTTAATATTCATAAATCGATGATTTTGAATCATCCTGTAATCTAATTATATGAAAAATCTTGTTGATTCAATCTTCAAGTATTTTATTTCTCAAGGTGATACCTTGAGGATAAATGACCTAGCTCAATCAGCTGACGATATTAAATAAGCGCTGCCCTCATTTCTCCCTCAGAGTCTACTGACGCACGTATCTCGCGCTACGAAGCAGACGTTGAACAAGCTAGGCGTCTTTACGGTATCGTCCTTCCACGCGTTTATCTGCGCGCGTAGTCCATCCTTGCTGAATAATCTATTAGCGGGTCGCGGAGCGACAAAAAGAAGACCGCCGCTGTTGTCGAGGTCGAACAGTGGCTCCAGCAGACGCTCGCTACAGATCTCGTCCAGGGACGAGGAGAAGAGTGTCAAGGTGTCCGTGCCGGAAAATCAGGTACGATCATCAGGACATCGGGTGAGTTGATCGAAATTATGTATGCTCACGAGATAGAATAAGATAAGGGTAAGAAGAACGCGACCCGGTGTTTCCCGTTCGCTGTTTCAGCTCGTGTCGGTGTTTCTGCGGGACGCTATGACTGTGGAGGAATTTTTGGCAAGCGCGTGTACCAGGAAGAATCTTAATCCGATGGAGCACTTTGTGCGCGTGAAGAAGCGCCGAGATATGGAGGACCACAATTATTTTGTGCCACATAGGACTGATTTGATAGAAACCTATGTAAGTCAGAGAGTGAAATTTAAGTGATTATCTTTAGTCGTGTATTCGGTAAGAAAATTTTCGCTCTGTAGCTCTTTAGCTCTTTCTTTTTTTCGCTCTTCGCTCTTTCTTTTTTACTCTACAGTGCTGCATAGCTTATAGAGATACAGTGTTATAGAGCATTTTTACAGAATAGACCCATTAATTTAAAAATGTCTAAGAAAATTGAATACTTAGAATATAAAATATTATTGGTTTATATTTTATACATTTTTTTTATAGAGATAATAATTAAAATAATTATAATATTTCTTTAAAATAATTATAATATTTCTTCTGATTCAATTGTGTGCAAAGTTTTGGAAATTGTTAAGAAATAACAATTTGAGGCAATTTAAAATGTATTAACAATTTATTTAAAAACAGCTATATATGGAGAAGTTATTTCTTTTGAGTATACTTATCGAATAAATGTATTAAATAGAGAAAAAAATATTATATTGCTTGTCTTGCGAGTAAAATTATTTTTTATTTGCTTGTAATCAATTACTTTATAAAATAATTAAAATCGTTAAGTACGACGAGAATTAAGATTGATAATGTAATTTTTCTTTTGTTGCATGCAGTTGCATACGCACGAAATTGTGGAAGTCTGTGCCAAGATTTTATATCAAGTGGAATTGCAAAGAAATACTTTGGAGCAAATGTGGGGCTTCTCCGTCGAGGCCGAGCTCATAGAAAATTCCGACAGACAGGATGAGCTCTGTTGCTACGTTAGTAGAGTGGAAGACAAGAGCGTCGCCATGCAAAATGGTAAGCATCCCTTATCTAGGACAATATATAACTAAAATAAACGTCCCTCAAGCGCAACGATTAAAAGTTTCGATCGTTACAAGGTTTTTTTATTTCTGGTTATTTATTAACTATTCTATATTTTTCATACTTTTATCAACCTCTATTATTTAAACGCTAGTGATTCTCTATACGAATGATTAATTTTATTTGATAATTTCAAAGTGACGTATTAAATTAATCAAAAAGTTCATTCAATTTTTTCTTTATTAGAACGAATTAGAACGGATTAGAATGAATTGAATTGATATTGAATAAACTTTTTGATTAATTTAATACGTTACGTTGAAATATATATGTATATATATATATATATATATATATATATATATATATATATAAAAGAGAAAAATCAATTCTGCGGTTAATCTAAATCTAGAACAAGTTTATATATTTTAAAAAATAAAATTTAAAAAAAAGTGAAAAATAATATCGTATTATATAAAAGTTTTAAAAGTTATACAATATTTCAACTTGTTTTTCTCGATTGAACTTCTTGCGAATCTTAGAAAACGATCTAAAGCGAGGTCTGATCGTATTAATTTTTTAGACCGTATCGGCGCCAGGATATGCAAGGACGCCATTGAAAAGTCATCGATTTTCCGCGCCTCGTCGCTCGTTCGTTGAGCAAAGTCTCGTGCTTACGGTTAAATGAAGCGTGTATAATGCGTGTAAAAAAAAGAATATGTCTATAGTAAAAATATATTATATACGTGTACAGGGGGTGGGATAGTCTTAGGGCCGCAGGCGCAAACGAATCAGCATGACATTTAGCGCCGCCTTTCCGTATGTCTAAATTTACTTGATAGCTTACTGGTAAAGCACGATCGAAGGGAGCGACTTATTATAGTTGCGAAAGATACCGAGCCGAGCGGATCGTCTATGCAAGCGGGTTGCAAAGCAAACATGATGAATGTCAGCTGAAGTGAAATTATTTAAGAATCATAAAACAATAGTCGCGACCGCGCTGATTAATTCATATCATTTTCGCGATAATAAGTCGACAATTATAGTGATGAAAATATATGAACAGTATATAATACAAGAATTTTTCACGTTTACTAAAATAATTAATAAATGCGATAATGAATCGCGCGCATTTGACTAATTCTCTCAATCTGTCACAACAATAAATATTTCGCTGTTGTAACGAACGCGCATAAATCTACACTTGGAAAAGTTCTTTTCTGAAATCCTCCTTCGAGACCTTATCCCTTATCCTAGCAACGCCATTCTGCTTTCAGGAATCATTAAGGGTGATGAGATTATGGTAATCAACGGCGCCATCGTGAGCGACCTGGATATGATGTACTTGGAAAGCGTTCTACAAGAGGAGGTGGGTCTCTGCATGATGATGCGATCCTCCAGGACGGAGCCACCGGATCTCACGGGTATTATGCGAGTCACCGACGATATAATTGAGAGTCTAGTCTGCCCGCCGCCACCTACCGATCCACCAGTCATCAGCGAGGAAATGATTTCCGGTCTCATTGTACCGGCACCCGGATGGAGTGAGTGTTTTGCGCTTTGAGAGCTCATCACATTAAAAACAGTATTTTATTTCTGATAACTAAGCGAGCTCGTTAAATAAATGAGACATGAATAAGATAAAAATATAAATCACAAAAAGATGCCGACCTTGAATCTATATATCTCAATGTATCAAATTAGTTATTCTCGTTCTCCATCTATGTATATCACGTCATTAAATATTAATACATAATTCCATTATCTCTAATCTAAAATATAAAGATAATGAAGAATAATAATCGTTACTCTTAAATTAAATATCGTTAAATATTATTGTAATTTTTCAGTACGATTTGAATTAAATTTGTTATATAGTGATTAACTTATTACGAAAAATATTTTCGTTAATATAACGGTTTTTTATAAACAATGTTTGACATTATATTTTATTTTTGCGATAATAAATTGTATCTGCCACAAATTGTAATATAATTTTGTAAATTATTAATTAATATAAATATTAAATCATGTAAATTTATCGTTGCAATTATAACATATTCTGTCACAGCATTATGCATATCTTACTTTGCTAGGTAAAGAGAACATTATGCAGGATTGCTCTGCCGCTCATATGGAGAACAGCAAACAGACTTCGCGCACCAATTCCTTCGAGATCGAAAATCTTTTGAAGACTGCTGAACAAGTGACAGGAATCTGTCGTTCGCCAGGAGAGACTAGAAAATCGAGTCCCACCGGAAGCGTCGTCAGTTCCCACTCGCAAGCTCTCACACCGAGTCGGCAACTTAGCGATGCTGAGAAGCTGAAGAAAGTGATTTTAGAACTGATTGAGACTGAACGAACTTACGTAAAGGTAGTGGCGGTTTATTATATTTTATTATTATATTTTAATTATTATATTTTATAATATTTACAATTATAATAAATTACAAAAGAGATTTTTACGAATACATATTAAATCTAATCACTCTTCTATTTCTTTCTGTTCATAGAATTTAAATAATTTGCTGGAGAACTATCTGGAACCCCTTAAACGCGAAACTTTCCTATCGAACGCGGAGATCAACGCGTTGTTTGGTAATATTCAGGAAATCGTCACATTTCAACGACAGTTCCTGCAGAATCTCGATCACGCCATCGAGATGGAGGCCGATTTCAATAGCTTTGACCATCCGAGTCAATTTAAGGTACGCGCCTTAATGTAACTTGATTGCTTATTAATAATCAACTGCAACTCAATAAGATATTAAATAAAATGATGTTGATGAATTAGAAAAAAATAAAACTAGTAATTTGTTTTTTATTATATTTTTGAAGCGATATAACATTTATTGTTACATCATATTATTCTTATGGCAATAAGTATATATTAAAAAATAAAGTTATATATTTTTTAAATACCAAGAATTCTCGCACTTTTCGAAATATGAAAATCGATATTTATGATTGTTTTTTAATAACGCGAATATGTATCAGTAATATTGAAAATTGACAACATACTCTCTTTCGAACAAGAATGCATTCCGAGCTGAATTTATATATATACATTTTTTATGTTATAGGGAGTCCTGTTTTCCATTGGAAGTGCCTTCTTATATTACGTAAATCACTTCAAGCTTTACAGCTCGTTTTGCGCTAGTCATTCGAAGGCTCAGAAAGTTTTACATCCAAGTAAGTTTTCTCTTAAAATATACATTTCTTTTTCGCAAGAGACGACCTTCGGCGATTTCTTCCTCCACATCAACACGCCTGATCCTTTGCGATCGATAATTCACTCGCCAGGAATAACTATGTCCAACCTCACTCTCTATAAATATGTCGTTCCCGGAAAGTTCTCCGATTTATTATTCATATTAACCTTTCGCGAATAAATGACATTTTTGCAACTATGAGAGCTATGCCATTAAAAAATTCAAAGATGTTAAAAAATTCAAATTTCAAAATTATTAGAGCATGCAAACGTAACTATTATTCCTTGAAATTTTATCTCGTCATTTAAACTTTTAATATGCTAATTAAATATTATATTCGTTCGTTTAATCGTTTTAAAATGTAACCTAGTGTGATATGGAACAGAAAATATTTGTTTCAGATATTATTCATACTATTCGATTCGATATATATAATTCATGCACAATATTGCTCGAGAAATACGTTTCTGATTTTACAAATCAATTTTTCCTTTAATTCAAATTGCGTTTCATATAATTACGATAAAACTCGATGAAATACGAAGCAATCTCCCGACAATTATCAGGAGTAATTGACAATTTCAGACGAGGGAAATCAAGCTTTACAAGAGTTCTTGCAAGCAAGAAATCCTCGGCAGCAACACTCATCGACCTTAGAATCATACTTGATAAAACCTATACAAAGAATACTCAAGTATCCGCTGCTGTTGCAGCAGCTTAGGAATCTCACTGATGAACGAAGCGAAGAACACCAACACTTGATCGGTAATTACAATGATATCGTGCGACTAATTTAATGAACAAGTTTCAAGAGCGTCATCAGAAACTTAATATTAAATGTATAAACGCGAATCTTTATAAATTGCAGAGGCGCTCAAAGGTATGGAAAAGGTGGCGGAGCACATAAACGAGATGCAAAGAATTCACGAAGAGTACGGAGCTATTTTCGATCATTTATTCAGACAACACCAAAAATCCTGCAAACAGGTGAATCAATTTTTACTTTTGCGCATCTCTAGAAGTAAAATATTATATAATAAATATTATACTTATTACATTTTGTTATATTTACAAATAATTAGGATATTTTAAATTGATGTATTAATTTTTTGGCAGCCGATCGATTTAAGTCCAGGCGATCTTTTGTACTATGGCGGTGTCGAGTGGCTCAATATTTCCGATTTTCTCGGTAAAATAAAGAAGGGTCTCGAGTTACACGCAATGTGTTTCGTATTTAAATCGGCCGTCGTGTTCCTGTGTAAAGAAAGATTGAGACAGAAGAAGAAACTTATGGTGAGCGTTCATACGATTTAATTCTTTCATTAATTTTTGCAATGTTCGTAATACTAAAGAGACTGCATCATACACTTTTCAGGGAGTTTCGACCAAGGCTAACTCTAGCGAGGTAGAAATCATTCGTTATCAGGTGCTGATTCCAGTTACAGAAGTCCAGGTCAGAGCTAGCTCTGCCAAGGATATGGAGTCTCACTTCTTATGGGAACTGATTCATCTAAGAAGTCAATTACAAAGAAGATCGGAGAAAGTATACGTGCTCTCCAACAGGTATTTTTTTTCTTATCATTTAGATTAATTATTTGCTAAATTATAAGCGTCCACATTAAAATAAATATTTCATTGAATAAACCAATAAATTCTTTGAAATATATCATAGATATTAAATTTGGATAAAATATTTTTCTCATCTACTTATTTTTTTTTTTATAATATATTTCTTTGAAACTAAATGTGTACGAGCGCAATAAAATAAATTCACATGTATGATAGATAATTATTATGATCGCAAATGCAATTGTTTTATAGCTAACTTAATTTTACTGACGTTATTGATTGAGCGCGAAAATTGACAATATTATCAGATTAGAAATATAAATTGCAGATAAATGAAATTAAGTTTCATTTATCTCGCAACTATGTCTTGATTAAATTTTCTTCGCAAATCAATTCTGTTATTCTGTTATTTTTTCATAATCCCTATAGAAAAATAATTTATATGATATTTCTGTTTTCTCTTTTTTTTCTCTTTTTTATTTAAAATTTATTTTTTTGTAAGATATTTTTTTTTAAATATATACTCCAACGATCATCTGAAATGGATTTTTCATAAACTTACAATTTTTTTATAAACTATGCAAATATATAAAAAATTGTTTGTTCACAACACACATCTTTCTTTAATATATAAATAATTAATGTGGCTATTTTATTTATACGAGTATGTGACTATTTTATTCTATTTTATTTATTGTATGCTTTGCTTAAATTTTTGCTTATAGTACAACGGAATTCCGAAACGCGTTTTTGAAGACAATCCGACAGATCATCCGAGAGTCCGTGAGGAATATGAGCATACCCTCGACGAAACAGAATATGAGTCATGCTCCAATGTCGATGGCGCCGCGTATGTCGACCGGTCATGTGGAAAAATTTGACAAGCAGCAGATTGGTCAAACTCAAAACGGAAATGGCAGCATCACGGGCACGCTCTCGAAGAAAGCGATGAAGCAACAATTACTGGCGAATTCGCATAAGCGCAAATACAGTCATTCCAAACAGCCGGTAGAACACGAGAGTTCGGAAGATAAGGATCAGGAGGATGCGCCAGTCGTCCAGCAGCAAACCACGTTCCGCTCTAGGAGCAAAACTATAAGTGACACTTCCAGTAAGATGGAAAACCTCTTCTAGGCTTTGGAAAAATTCTCTTATAGTAATCTTGTTATATATATGTATATATAAACTAATTTTTATAAATATTTTTATAGATTATTATGATATAATATATACTATATTATATATATTATGTATATATAATAATCATTTTTTTCTTTCTTATACATATTTTATAATTATATATAAAATATGAATAAAATTAATTTTAAAAAACTGATAAAAATACGGGAAAATATAGTGCAATAATTAAAGATGTCATTTTTTTAATATGATATTATGTCTTTGTGGGACTTAGGCGAGATAAAAGTCGAAATGGATTCGGGCACGAAGTCGGAAGGTGAAGAAGACTCGCAGGCTTTTTTAGGCGAGAAGAAGACAAATCTCGGCCGGACACCTAATCATCTGACGCTGAGCACCACGTCGACTATCTCGGCGGGAAGTACTGGCAGCCAAGCTAGATTGATCCAGTCTTCTCATCAGCCCGAGAATTATCAGCCCATTACCGTCAAGGAACTTGGTGAGTGTATTGGTTATCGATATTTTTTTTTATCTCTAACGAGACTTAATCAGATAATTGCTACAAAGTTATTCAATTGATTATTAATTAAGAATTATTTGTGAACAGCTAGTAATGTGAATTTGATAATAATAAATAATTACATTTTTATGACACAAATATACGCGATAGTTTCTCGAATCTTGTTCCAATGAATTTTATAATAGGGTTTATTTTTTTGTTTTCTTTAAGAAACATGTCGTGCAGAAAAGAATTAATTTCTAACATAATGCGATGGCAGGTTCGCCGATCTGGAAACCACGGGAGCTACCTTCCCTAGGGGAGGCCACCACATTGCCGCGCAAGGGTAAGTCGGCCGGCGAGTTCGCGGACATGAGCTCGAGCCATAGCGCCTCCCGAAAATCTCTGATAGAAATCAACAATTGTGCTCAACAACCTAACTTTAATAATCATGTTTAAGTTGAATAATATCGAGGCTGACTCGCTAACGAGGTAATATCGTTATAAGTTCCACCACATCATCATTAAACACAACCAACATCCAACCACTACTACCACTACCATTATCAAGCGTAATACACAGAGATAATTGTCCGATTATTACGATTGTCACGATGTCGATACGTGAAAGATACGCGTCTGCCGTTCACGTGGAATTTATGAAAAAGATTGCACTTTCTTCCTCCGCTCTCTTCCTCATTTCGTCTTCCAGTAGGAATCCGTATGTACTTGCTTGCGTGTATGTGAATGTGTGTTTGTATAAGACACAGCGAGATGTTCAACCAGGCTTCTATTTCTGAGGGAAATTTATATAGAATAGAGCTTGAAAATATTTTTTTGCTTTTGTAAACTATATCATTACATTTTTGTACAGAAGTCACCCTCAATATTTAAATTTAAAAAATTTAATTCAATTTATAAAATAATATTTTACTAATTATAATAAGAATACAAGAACATTATTAAAAATTAAGATGGTTTATAATTTTGATTGTAAAATTGATGATTCCAAAGATGTAGAAGACCGAGCAGACCGCTGATTTTAAATAATTCGATAGCAAATATCAAATCGTTAATAAATAGCTAATCGTTCCGTCGATCTCAAAAGATTCGTCAAAGTGATTGAGAATCTGAATTTCGAAACATTCGATTAATTATATAAGTTTATTAAATATACGCTCCAATTTTTTTTTATTTAATTAATTTTACAAACCGACGAAAGTGCAGTCAATTATATCTTTTAATTCTGATTATTAACTATTTACTATATTCCAGATATTAATATATAATAGTTATTGATATGCAATATTCTCTTCCAGAAATTACTATTTAATTTATCGTTCATTGATTATTACAGTGCAATTTTTAACAGTTTATTTTTTAGTCTTGCTTTTATTTTTACGTTATTTTAGTTAATATTACAAATAATTTTAACTGTACATTCAGCGTATACATTCAGCGTATACATTCAGTTTTATAACTAACTTTTAAAATAAGTATATTTAAAATTAAATATAGCATAAAATTGTGATATCCACACATTTAAATTTCTCACAAAGTTTAAAATAAAATATTAAGAAAAACTATTTTAAATTGTCCAAGAATTCTATGGTAGATGAAATAAATTTATGCTTTGCATTAAAAATATATTCATGAAAGAGAACAACAAAGACATAAGATGTAATAATCAAGATGTATTTCCAAAATCCTGGAAGAGTGGGTTTTATTATTAATTTGCCGAGAAATTATGTTCTTTAATATCTTTCGATTTCTTGTTTAACACTATTCAGTAGCATAATTTTAACCAATTTAAACGAGACATAATCTGGTCGCTTTTTCGAGAATCACTAGTGATCGAGGCTACGTCCTTCGATCCTCTCGATCCTTTTCGCGTGGACGGCGGCGTGATAATTGACGAAGAGATAATTATCGACTCTGTATATAATGTAATAATGATATTATCGTCACTATAATTACCGTCGATTGCGACCGAGCGCTCGCGCGTAGCGCGCTCGTTACGTTGTTTCTCATCGTTCTCTACCATGTGACCCTCTCCCCCATTTTTTTATTATTATATAAAACTGTCGTGATGCGCGTCACGCACTATGCATTGACGATCGCTGGATGACGTGAAGGGAACTGATAGAAAGAGAAAGAGAGAGAGATTTAAAATCCGTATTAAAAAAAAAAAGTAATCGAAGAAGCGATTCGTGCGCATAGAGTAAGTTTTAGCGATTAAAGGAAATCAATTAAGATGAAACACAGAAAATATATGTATACATATATTATACATACGGAATATTATGCGAGAAAGCGAGAGAGAGAGAGAGAGAAGGTGGGTTTATGAATTGCATTGTAACGTCGTCCACAGTTCCCCCCTAAAAAAAAAATGTTCCGCCGCGTATTAACCTGTTTTCAGGGTCGAGCATCCTCGCCAATATAGCAGACTTTATTTTTAACGTTACTTAAGATACAAAAGAGAGCGTTTGAAAACGAACGAGAGAATGTTTGAAAGAGAGTGAGAGAGAGAGAGAGGAAGAGAGAGATAGAGAGCGAGAAATGGTCAGAGTGCTCGAGACCGAAGCTGCGAGGTGAGATGCGTAGGCGTAACGACGAGATGCGTTTCAAGACCCGTGAGGCTAAGAGTAAGAGAGATGCGAGAGAAAAGAGAGAGGCGTACGCTCGGACTTCAAACGTATATATATTGATGATTAGGGCGAACGATGAATCGAGGGGCATCGATGGTGTCGGTGACCGAATCCTTCACGATAACCCGACACATATACCGCGTTGTTAATGGGTATTACGATAAATTAAGAATGGTATCGAGGGATTAATACGTGTAAATTAGACGACAGAAAGTATCCACATAGACGTATACCTACAACCAAAAATATATATAAATAAAAAATATATATACACATACACATACACACACATACATACACGTACACGCGCGTAACATATAGGCACACAACGACTGATGATGCGAAAGTAGTGAGATTTTCAAGGATGAAATATTCTCAAAATATTCGAACGAATATATTTGGAGAAGATTTCCCGAGGGTGAAAATATTGGGGAAACATTCTTTTCGGAAAATCGAAATATTTTCCGAGAACGTATTCTAAAGAGGTGCTCGTTCACTTTTCGCATCATCACGAACGATATGTACGCATATTCGAGGAAAGTGGATGTTGCATGCGCGATATAATCGATCTCACGACTCGATCTTCTATCGAACGCAAACGTTTACGAATCTCTGTGGTGAAACGTTTACATGTCTCTGTGTGTCTCCTGAGTAGGACAATAAACAGGATGGATCTGACGATGCTTCGGGCATCATCTCGACACGCTGGTCCTTTCATGAAAAATGCACTTTCGCTCGAGGAATCTCCAAACTTTGGTATCTTCCTTTTATCTGATTCGTACGGTTCCAATTGTAGAGAGTTAGCGTTAAACATTGCAAACCAACTTGTGGATCCAGAATCATAAACTGCGAGCTTAGACTTTCCTCGATGTTATTCCCGTTAGGATCGAGGATGATGCCTCAAGCTACGTAGATCCTACTGAAATAACATAGATATGACAAACACTTTACACGCGGTATCGATTTTATTCAATCGTTACCGTTTGCATCGGTATTTGCGCTCATAAGTATCGCTCGCGTCGATATTGCTTATGATAATCATCGAAATAATATCTGAAACGATAATTTAGTGAAGCTCGATGAGAATAAAATAGCGTGTGTCGTAAAAGTATATCAAATGAATCCCAGAATTATAATCCAGAGATCGTCAACGTTTCCGTTCAACGCTTCGAGCCGATGGATTATCGTCTAATGGTGAACAAGGATAAAGATTTAATTATCAATTAATGGGATTTGGTATATCGATATATTCGACATACGCACACATTCTACATGATACTGTCTGGTGCGTCGATCAACGACTCGAACGGATACATTTCTGTTTTTAAAATTAAAAAAGCGTCGGTTGTATAATATTTTAATATTATAATAGCGTAACATACTATATTATATTATAGTATTATAATATAATATAATGTAATATAAAATATTATACACGATGATATTTATGTATAATATTATCGGCGATTAGATTATCGACGAATGTGAGAAATATCGTGTTGCAAATGTTGCGCGTAACATCTAAAAAAGAAAGAGATCATTGTGAAAATTTGAAATCGATCGACTATTTCATATATTAACGTATACAATAACGTAAAAAAAGAAAGAATTTTTCATATTAATGCTTGTCGAGAAAGAGAACGTGTCGATACAAAAAAATCGTATTAATCTGACATTTGTAAAAGAATCGCGTCAATTACTAATATATTTCCAAAGAAAATTTATACGCGTACTAATTATATATCGAAATGCTATATGCCGAGATATTATTGTACAGTGTTTGTATAGTTGATGAATAAGAACGGATAAGATTTGATCTTTTTTTGCTTCCTGACGGATTGTACGAATCACGTGAATTTTATCCATAACGTTACGAATGTTTTACGCTGTAATATTGCTTCCATTTCTCGAAATACGCATTACACATATTTAATCACGCGTGCTTTAACACAAATTTCTTACGATCTCCGCGATATGTATGTGTGAAATTATAAAATTTCTTGCATTAAGTGATAAAATTCATTAACATCTGATTCTTGACTGTCGATAGATATAATTTTATATTCTTTTAATTTTATTTTATGTTATATATTATTTATCAGATTTGCGATAATGTTTTTTTACATATATATACTTTTATCTAAATTAAATAAACTTATAATAATAATAAACCTATGCAATATTGATTTTTTAAATAATTTTAATAATAATTAATAAATGTTTAAGAACTGCTTATTTTATATTGCACATTTTACAAGTTATCTCAATGTTATCAGTGAAATATAAAAAGTCGAAGGGATATTTTATCTCTGAAATCATGTTATCAAGAGAAACAACTACAGGCAGTCAAGAATATAAAAATCGATTTCGTCTTGTAAGCTTTTTTATATCGAAAAGTCGATCGATCTTACCAGATTTAACTTGAATCGCGAATATGATGAGTCATCCAAGAATGAGCTCTTCCTTTTTTTCCGCTTGAAATCGAATATGCAAAAGACCTGCCATCCTACGCAAAAATCTTTCAAAAGACGGAAATGTCAACGAGAATTGAACTGTAAATTTTGCAATATTTAAAGAGAGTTAGTTTATCTCGGGCAAAAGAATTTCTTCGGAGAGAAATTTTCCTCGAAAGAAACTGGAAATCTTTTTTTCTCTTATTTATTAAAAATAGTGTCGGAAAAACATGACGAACATGGTGCCAAAATTGTCGTATAGCAATAATTAGTAGGATTAATATCAGACTGACTTATAATAGTGTTCAAGCGCAAGAGTTCGTCGAAAGGTGAAATCTCAATGGAAGATTTATCGCTGAAATATTGATTGATAATCGCATGAATTTCAATTAATAATATCTGATATATGATCGTTGATTATGTAAAATTGTGCAATACCAACAAAAGCATAATTATATGCATACGAATTTCAAGAATTACTGCGCTGGAATATATTATAAACGATCGATGAATATATTTATATAGATGAAACTTTACTTTGAAATTAAATAAAAGAGAAATTAAACATTAAAAAAAACGATAAAATTATTATATTGAATGACTTGAGTATTTTAATGTTACGATTTTGCCTTTTGATTTTTATGAATGATTATTTGAACAAGATGGAAATTTTTTACAATTTTGTCTATTACATCGAAGAAGTTCTTTGGAACGTGGAATTATTATCTAAATAGAAAAGAATCAGAATAAATAGATTATAATTGGCTTTAATAATTTTATTTGAAGATCGTAGTTAATTTTAATGGTACAAAGAAAGGCGATAGAACTACCATGATGAGATCTTTCTTACTATTATGCAAAAAAATTATGCTTTGTATGATTCAATCATAAACAATTGAAGTAGATTGTTTTTGGTAATTTTAAAATTTGACTTTATTTCAATTATCATCGTTGAAAATTCGTTGACATGAAGCGTTAAAGAAAATGGCGGAAACGATTAGATACATATATACATACATACGTACATAGATATACATATATACATAGACACTCACATGCAGTCACGCGCACATATATACAAAGACACAAAATATATCTAATAAGACATCGGTTAAGATCTGACAGCGAAAAAAAAATAATAAGATACCTACTTATTAATTACTATAGGCGAGAACACACATGTGCAGATTTAAGAATTTACGGAGGACCTTCTGTTGCTCGAATTATTGCATTGTCTACTAAATATAAATTTTATTGTATAAATTCTGTCGAGGCGCGCCTCCGAGCGAGAGTAGATGTTTCTTTTTCTCTTCGACCCCCGTACCTTTCTGAAAGGATTTACGAGAATATTCGAGTGAGAGAGAGAGAGAGATTCAAATAGAGAGGAAAATGCGTAATTGAGGAATGTGTTTTTCCGCGCATAACAATAATTGAACTGCTATGTCAGATGCGATAAATTGCTTTTCATACACGATATATAATTCTATAAAAAATGACTCTCTTATTATGTAAAGTTATATTCTAGAATCATCGGAAATACTCTCCTATTCATAGATTCTGTCATAAATGCGAATATAGATAAATCGATTTATTTATTACTGTAATCTCTGTTAAACATCTGTTTGATGATGAGACACAAATGTCTGGAAAACAATGTAGGAAGTATGATTACCTCTTGTACGATTGCTTCTTGAAATGTAAGCGCTTTTATTTGTATCTATAACCCATACATACATATATATCGAAAAATCGTTTCATCATCGTCATTTTATCACGAGCAGGTGTCATCTTAATCGAGCTTAAGATATTGCGCTTATGTTTTATCTTATCTCTTCACTTAAGAAGTCTTATAATAAATTTAAAAACATATAGAGTGAAACGATATATAGAATGAAGATCAAGATTTATTATTTCAATCAATTATTTTTAGGAAAAATAGGTAAAATATTTTACATGAAATATAGAAGAGCAAGATTCATTCAATTATTTTTAGGAGAAATAAGTAAAATATTTTACATAAAATTTTTCTTAAACTTATTTAATATTACATTTAAAAAATCTTAAAATTCCGTATATTTAAATATTAAAGAATTAAAATTATAAATAAGAAATATTTTAAACAAAAGAACGTGGAAGACATATAAATCATATTATATTTTATTGTATTCTTTATACATTCTTTTAGAAGTTTTTTCTTCAGGCGATATAAAAAAAACGATGCCATGCTCCACAAAAAACGAATGATTAAATAATTATCAAAAAATCACGAGGTGATTAGGTAGATAGTAAGTACCCAAAGAATTTTTGCAATACCAAACATTTATTCGAGCGATTTTGATAGAAGAATCGAATGGTTTTCAGAAAACTTCGACATTCTACAAGTGAAAACGCTAAGTAAAATGATCTGAAAACGTTAGATTGTCAAACTACTTAAGATTTTAGTAATTTATCCTCATTTACGCATTTTTCTCAACGATGAGTCGAAACAGAGAATAAAAATAAAAATCGAACAGGGTCGAGACACTCTAGCTCGGAGACGTATCCCAATAGTTGGCCTAGTACCAAGTTTCATATTTTTCGCCTCCCCGGGTACGCAGTGAATCGTCGAACGATTGATCATCTATTGTATGATTATTGACATTCTTCCAGAAATTTTATTGATAAATATATATATATAAACTTTATCGCTACCGTTGAACATAATAATATTTGGGGATATATGATTAGGGCGATACCTTCGGTATTTATTGGGGACACCGAAAATACTAGATCGAGAGAGAAAAAAGGAAGAGTAAAATGAGACGAAAGGGAGACTGAAAAAAAGAAATATGGGGTTGGTAATATTATATATATAAGAAAGGGGCAGTTATAAAGGGATATACACAATCGAAGGAAAGAGCGGGATGATAATGAAATGAAAACGAAGTTAGCGTAATGATGTAATGAGTCTTTCCAGGGCAGAAGAAAAGAGAGGGCAAAAAAATATAAAATAAGAAAAGAGATAAAGAGAAAGAGAGAGAAAGAGAAGAGTCTCTTCCTTGTATTATAAAATCGTAAAATGAGTTAAGAGAACCAAGGATGAGATTAAATATTGTATGTATGCGAGCGGAAATATATGGTAAGCAAAAGAATATAAAAAAAGAAAACCCTTTACGTTTTCTCACCTATTACGTAAACGATATACGTTAATAATGAATATGTATATTATGATTATGATGATTGCTATATTTGTTGTTATTGTTCCTCGGTTGTATGCGGAGACGTTTAAGAGTGATCCATTTGTACAATCATTGAGTCATTAAAATATGATTATTCATTATGGAAGCGATTGCGTTTCGTTTTATTTTTTGACCCTTGATTTCCCCCGTTATCAATGATAAACACATACAGATTGACATTGGAATTTCCTATTGTGTCGCATCGAATTATCGCCCTCAGATTATCTCTATGCAATTTATCAATATAATTTAATTCATATCATGAATATAATTAATTGGAATAACTAAATGTATGAACAAATTATCGATCATTGTAAGGCAATTTAATTCGTTTTGCGCTGTATGAAACTATATTATTGTTATTATTGCATACATATTTTTCAAGTATCTATTAAGAATTGAATTCACAAATGTTATTAAAATTCTATTGAAAATTTCGCTTTTTTTATAAAATAAAAATTAGAAAAAATGTTAAGGAATTGATAAAACTATGAGAGATTTCCTATATGGATTTCACTATTTTTTTCACTATTTTATGTCACGTTTCTTAAAACAAACATTACGTAAATAAATATAAAAAAACTTTATCATATTGTTGTAGTCACGAGATAGCTCGCAGGTGTTCGATAATCCTTGATTCAATCATGATTGATAAGAATTGCAGGTGAGTAAACTAAATAATCAGTTGATTAAATACAACTTGTTTAAATACAGCAACTTTTATATAAACTTCTACACATATATTGAGAAACTTTAATTTATTCCTCGAGAATCTAAAAAAAGTAGATCTTAATCTTACAAAGATTTGTTATCGTAATTGGGAATAAAATGAATGAAAGTTTATGTCGCAAGTGTAACTTTATTTTATATACAGAGCATTTCAGGATTAAATATTTTTTAAAATAACATCACTTAAAATAAATAAAAAAATAAATAAGAAAATCATACACACACACACACACATACACACACACAAGAGAGATCAAGAAAAATATCAATATTTCTTAAACAAAAGCATTTGTGGGCATATTTCTTACAGAAAGAATGTTCTAAAAGAATTTACATACTTATTTTGGTATTCTATTAATTTTCGTATATTTTAAATTAGAACTATTATTTAATTCTATGTGAAACATCTTATATATTCCTAAAGTATATAAAAGAATTTATTTATATATGTATAAGACACTATATTACACTATATTACATAACGTTCTATTTCGATAAATTTCTTTAGTGTATCTCTTTAGTTCTGATTAAATAATTAAAAGGATTTTACAAAATGTCATATTTATCGTTTAAACTACGTTTTGTCATCGATAAGAAAAGTCATCGAATTCTCATCTGTACGATAAGCCATCGGACATCAGCTGGCCCGATAAATATGATTTGATATAGTCAAGTTGCTTTGTTTGTCGATTATTTCAAACAGTTGTTCACTCGATCTACAAAGTGAAATAATCATCACGTGAAACAAGCGAGAAATTGCTTCATTTTGCGTCGAAGATCTATTAATGAACTTGAAATTAATAAATTCGAATTTAATATAACTGATACTTCGAGAGATTGATTGTCATAAATAAATTTAACGAGTAAGAATAACTTATTTGTGAAACGAAGTAAACGAGATTGTACGTTAATAATGTGTGCGTTGTTAATATAAAACTACATAAATTATTTTGTAGCGTGAATATGTATTTTTTTATATATTACATATTTTTGATGAAATGCGTATGATGTTTGAAGTTAGAATCGAGTGAAATTGCACAACTTGTTATGTTGATTAATGTAATCAAGTTTAAAAGTTTTATTACTGTATAGACAAGAAAAGAAAGAAACACGATATGAAAATTAATTCGAGAAAGTGCATTGTCGAGAGATATTTATTAAGTGTTTTTATACGCGATAGACGTTTGTAATAAATAACATCTTCAGCAAACTGCGAATCCAATTATCATTGTCTTGTCGTGAAATATCGATACATTATTCGAGCCAAATCGAGCATCCTTTTTAAAACATAAATATCTCGATTAAACGGTTCTTGATTATATCTACGAAATGAGACGGGTAGTGTTCAGTCTCCTGTTCGCACTATGTGGCATTTTGATCTCGGCGAAAGAAGAAGAATATCATTGTGTCTGGTACGGTCAATGCGGAATATCAGGTATTTTTCCGCGAACTTGCGTGGCAAAAAATATTACCGCCCGGTCGATCAACAATCCAGAAGCCGAAGATATTCTGCAAAGAAAATGTCCGCATTTTTTCGAAAATGGTGGTTTGTATATTTTGATTAACCATTTAAGAAATTCTTTCATTCACAGAAATGATTAAATATCGCTAAGCGACATTTTTGTGCTTCTGTGATTAAACATTAACACTCATGTGCTAATTAGAATGTCACAACTGCAGAAGAATCACCGAAAATATGCTGTAATGCCGAACAAATCATTACGATGGACTCTAGCATGGACATGGCCGCGGGTGTTTTCAGCAGATGCGCTACCTGCATAAAAAATATGTTTCGTTTCATCTGTGATATTACTTGTAGTCCCAAACAAAGTCAATTCGTAAATGTAACCAAGAGTGCCACAGAAGATGGCCACGAATATGTTGTCGAATCTGAGGTAATTTTTATAAGTGCATTTTGTCTCTTATACAGATGTTACAATTTGTGTGATAAATTAAATTTTAATGTAAATAAAAGAAATAAATGAAATGAGAACAAATGATAAAATATACTACTTTAATAATGAATCTAAATAAAGTAACATATAATAACTTATAAAGTTAAAATCAAGTATTTTTGAAAAAATTTCTAAGCATTATTTAATAAAAAATATATTGTTGAAAATATTGAAAATGTTGAATATTACTTGTATATATCCTTTTTTAAAATAATATATACACTGTAAATATCTTTCTCTTCTTTTTCCCTTTCTTGTTATAATAAAAAACTTATTATAACACATTATAAAATTATAACATTATAAAATTTTTAAATACATTTGGTCAATTTCATGAGTAATTATATTTGTAATAACAAAATAAAAGTAAATTAATTAAAAATTATAGCAAAAGAAAGTTTAAATTTCTGTGGACATTTTTCAGATCCACGTGACGGAACAATATATAAATGCCACGTACGATTCCTGCAAAAATATTATTAATCCTAGTACAGGAAGATTGGCGATGGACCTGGCCTGTGGCTCGCACGGGGCCAGTGGATGTTCTCCTAAATTGTAAGTAAAGAAAGTTTGCACGTATATAATCATATGAGAGACATTGTAGACTGTGTAAATATAATATAATTTAATATGTGTAATTTACAAAGGTGGTACGAGTTCATCGGCGATACCAATACGAACCCTATGACACCTTTTCAGATGAATTACGTTTATGATATACCTGACATATGGGGCGAGGATCCATGGGACGCGGAAGCAAAAAAATGCAGCGAACCTTACGACGTAAGTTTGAGAAAAATGAACTCTTTAAATAACTCGTAAAAAGTTATAAGTGCTTTTTTTCTCGTTATATTCAATTCTTATTTATTCAACTTAAATTTGAAACTATCTTTATGTTTTTTTTTATCAGAATTTTTCAATACCCTGCAGTTGCGTTGATTGTCCCACTGCGTGTCCTTTTACAAAATTAGAAATTGTTAAAGATACTTTTATGATCGGTAAATTTAATGGTTATGGTGTTATAGCGGCTATATGTGTCGTCGTATTCACAATAATAGCGAGTTTTATATACGGCTTATTACTACGTATAAATAAAAATCGTAAAGGTATGAACAATTTTCTCGAGAAATCGAGTTTTCTTTAATATTAGATTTTTTCTAAAGTCTATTTTATATTCAAGTTGGTAATTATTGCAATATATTTCTAGGTTCTTCTAAGACACCAGTGAGAAAAACTAATCGAAATTGTAGCCAACGTTATCAAAAAAATTTTGAAATAGCTTTTGCTGCGTGGGGAAAAGGTAATTACATGTATTTTTATACGAATATATATATATATATATATATATATATATATATATATAAAATTCTTTTTAAAAAGATATTGTATAACTTATAAAATTTTCAACAATATCATCTTCTTTATAGTAATTTTTAATAAAATTAAATTACATCGCACAATCTGACTAGATATAATTATATTCAAACTAGAATTATTTTTTTAATCATGTTAAAGATAAAACATTTTTAATAATGTTAAAAATAAAAACAATCATTTCTTTGTCACGCTATTACACAAACTTATCCAATTAAAATAATGTAAAAAAATAGATATTTATAAATAAGAAATTTCAATATATTATCGATAGCATTCGCCAAGTATCCTGTTGTCATCTTGTTTACAATCTCATACATCGTTCTCGGTCTGAGTTATGGAATTAATTATCTAGTGGTCACAATTAACCCAATAGAAATTTGGGCGTCACCAAGTTCTAGATCAAGAACAGAAAAGGATTACTTCGATAATAAGTTCCAGCCATTTTATCGAACTGAACAGATTTTTATAAAATCTATTAATCTCAATATAGTAAGATTCTTGTTGTGGTAATTATAATAGCAATATCAATAGAGATTCAATTAGTGCGATATCAATATAGATTAAATAATTATAATTTTAATTAATTATTTAAATAATTATATTTAAATAATTATAATTATAATTTTTATATCTAAAGACAATATATAAAATAGACAATATATAAAATAGACAATATATAAAATATTTAAAAGAAAAATATTTAGTAAAGATATATTCATTCTTAAAATAAATTTCTAATATAAAAATCTTTTCTACACGATAGATAAAACATGAAACTGCGAATGGAATTATAGAATTCGGACCTGTGTTTAATAAAGAGTTCTTATTAGCTGTATACGATTTACAACAGCAAATCCTTCAGGTAGGTTAATATATTTTTTTATCAAATATGCGAAATATAATTAAAGATCTTGCCAATTAATATTAATAGTTAGGGCAAGAAACCGACGAAGGATTGGAAAAAATTTGTTACGCTCCTGTACAAAGTGAATTCATTGGACCGATCACTCTCGACCTTTGTACGGTGCAAAATGTATGGGGATATTTTCAAAACAACATTGAGTTATTTAATGAAACGGAGACCTCCGATGGATATGAAATTAATTACTTAGATCACTTGTATAAATGTATGCAGTAAGTAATGAAAACCTATACATATGTTTCTGCTTGTTCAATTGTTTAGTAAATCATACAACAATTTTCTCAATAAATAATAATTCTAGTTCTTAAATTATAATATTTTACATAAATCAAAATATAGATAATTTAATATAGATAATAATTAAGCTAATGAAACTTATGTTACAAATTTTAATTAGTATATATTATTGAATTTTTCTTTTAAATATATATATTTTGCATAATAAAAAATTAAAAAATGATTCTAAGTTTTAATTATTAATGTAATAGCTTTTTAATATAATAAATGAAATTTTCAGAAATCCTTTTAATCCAGATTGTCTAGCACCGTATAAAGGGCCAATAATACCTGCTATAGCCATCGGAGGTTATCTAAAAGAAGGCGAATACGATTCCGAGAATTATAATAAAGCAACAGGATTAGTTTTAACATTTCTAGTGAGAAATTCGCTTAATGAAGAGGATCTTGTGCCAATTATAAAATGGGAACAACGGTATGCAAAAGTCAAGAGAAAATGGAAACTAAAATCGAATAACGTTAAAAATAATTATTAATGTTATTAATTAATAATTAATAATATTATATAATATTATTATAATATTATACTATAATATTATTATTATTATATTATTATTATTATTATTATTAAATATAATATTATTAAAAAATATTATTAATATTATAATAATTATTATAATGTTATTATTTAATAATTAATAATATTATTATGATTTATTTAAATTTTAGCTTTCTCGATTTTATGGCAAAATGGGACCAAAATGATCGGCCAAACTTCATGGATGTCGCATGGACGACGGAGAAATCGATACAGGACGAACTGGATAGAACTTCGAAAGCGGAAGTGATAACGATGGTCATCAGTTATTTACTCATGTTCGTTTATGTCGCTCTTGCTTTAGGAAGGATCAAACTTTCTCTTATTGGCTGCTTCGTAAGTTTTATTTTGTCGTCACCAATATCGCTACATTACGAGATCTATGGCGAATACTTAAGTAATTCAATTTTCCCATTCAGAGAGAAAGCAGAATCGTGTTGAGCATCGGTGGCATCATTTTAGTTATAGCATCGGTCTCTTGTTCTCTCGGAGTTTTTGGCTATGCTGGTGTACCAACTACTCTGCTGACAATCGAAGTAACACAATTAATTTGGAACTTTATTAATAATTCATATTAAACATTTGCACCTTTCATTTAAACATCTCTCTCTCTCTCTCTCTTCATATTAAATATTTATATAAAATCTAATTAAATTAAGTATATTAAAATTGAAAAAAAATTATGCTAAACAAAAAATTTAAATAAATTAAGCGTGTAGTCCTAAAATTAAAATAGTTAAATTCAACAATTTGTTAAGTTCGAATAATATTAGAGATTAATGTAATCTCTAACATTTGGATAAAAAAATATAATTATATGTAAATAAATATAAGTATGAGCTAAATGTTGAGATATCTTAAGAATAATAATCTACAATAGTAAATTATTTATTATTATTTAGGTAATACCTTTCTTAATACTGGCTGTCGGAGTTGATAATATTTTCATTTTGGTACAAAACCATCAAAGAATACCCCGACATGCTGATCAATCAATCTCAGAGCATATTGGTACAGTTATGGCTGCGGTAGGACCCTCGATGTTACTCACCAGTATGTCAGAATTTTTCTGTTTTCTCATCGGTACGCATATGAAATACCATAGAAATTTATTTAACAATATAAAGAAAGAAAGTATGTCTTTATAGTTATAAAAAATAAAATTTTCAGGAGCGTTTTCTTCGATGCCTGCTGTTAATACCTTCGCGATGTACGCTTCATTATCAATCTTAATCAATTTCCTCCTTCAGATAACGGCTTTTGTCGCTTTATTAGCTCTTGATTCGCGAAGAGCTGAGGTAACTTATATGAATTTAATATAAATATTTTCAAAAAATTTCGAAATTCTCTATGAAAGAAGTTAATATAATAGTTATATATATTGCATAATTGCAAGTTATTTTAATTACATTAATTATTATAATCTCGACTTAATAATTTTTAATTATTCTATGTTAAGATTAATATTGCAATTTTAATAAGAATTTGACTTTTTCATACCTTACTCTTGAAATAATTAATATAATGACCGATATGCATTCCTAGAACAATCGTCTGGATGTTTTTTGCTGCATTTCTACTAAGGAAAATTCAGAAACTGAAGGTTATATATACAAGGGTTTTGTCCATACAATCTTTGAGCGTATCTACACACCGTTTCTTATGAAGACACCGGTCCGAATGATTGTTCTAGTAATTTTCGTTGCCGTTGTAACTACTCATGTTATAATTGTACCGCAAGTCGAGATCGGACTGGATCAGAAACTTTCGATGCCTGAAGATTCTTATGTTCTCAAATATTTTAAGGTAAAGAAAAAGAAAGAAATATAATTTATCTATATCTTATGGTTATTGTTGTGTGTGTGTGTGTGTGTGTGAAATAGAAAATTCAATTCAAATCATTTATACATCATTTAAAAATCAATTACAAGACGCGAGAGAAACGAAGAAATTTTAAGGATTGTTATCTTAAATTACATTTATTTGTAGATTAGAATCTTTGGATTCTTTTTTGAATTTGTAATACTTTAATATCTCCAAAATTATATATTATTATATATTGTTACATACACAGTATTATATATCTTATTGTACAGCTTAAAATTTTATTTGCATAGTACATGGACGAACTTTTGTCAATGGGTCCACCAGTATACTTTGTATTGACAAAAGGTCTAAATTACAGCAACACAGAAGTACAAAACGTTGTGTGTGGCAGTCAAGGATGTAATACAGATTCTTTGTATTCGCAAATTTATTCGGCTGCCAAACAATCCTCCATGTTTGTATTTTTCCATGTTTTTGATTTTTGTTTAAAGTTTCTGAAAAATATTTTTGTAAGCTATAAGTAAAATTAATAATGTTTCGTATCTATCTTCTTGTACTTTAAAACGAAATTAGATTAGATTCATTAGCTTTTGTTTTTCATTGTTTCAAATATAATTGCTATTTCATTTTTGGGACTTACAATGTTTTTTTGGGAATTCTTTTGAATACAGGAAATACAAAGAAGAATTTTAACTATATAAAAATAAATAATTGCAGATCGTATTTGTCTAAAGCAGCTTCCTCTTGGATAGATGATTACATCGATTGGTCAACAATTGACCAATGCTGTAAATATTTTCCAAATAATCAGTCGTTTTGTCCGCATAATTATAGTGAGTATAATATCAATATTGCACACACATACATAACATTATTATTAATATTAATACATTTATGTATATGTGTATATATATATATATATATACACACACACATATACATAAATGTATTAAGACGAAAAAAATGTAAGAAACAGGTTTCTTAATATTATTATTGATATTAATATTAATATATATATATATATATATATATATATATATATATATATAATCAATTATATTAAATAATTATAAATATGTGTTTCGGTGAAAATAAAATTATTATTTATATAGAACAAGTCTGTAAAAAGTGCAAGATTCCTGTTGACACAAATACTTCTCGTCCGGATGAAGAAAACTTTAGGAAGTATATTCCTTATTTCATACAAGACATTCCAGATGAAGATTGTGCAAAAGCCGGAAGGGCTGCTTATTTCGATGTGAGTTAATATTACCAAAAACGATTGCGTTTTAGTGAGCTAAGAATTTTTGTTCCGCCAACATAAATTCTTGTTAATTTCTTTATGAAAAGTCATGAAATGGATATGGCAATGACAAATTAAAAATTTCAAAAAACAAATTTGATCGTTAAAATTCTTATCTCTAAACAGGCAATAACATTTGACTATGACGAATTTAATTTGACCAACGTGGGCGATACGTATTTTATGGGTTATCATACACCTCTAAAAAAATCGTCTGATTGGTACGAATCGTTGCGTGCTGCTAGAGCAATATCTGAAAATATTACAAATATGATTAATGATGCCAACATATCCAAAGTGGAAAAAGTTAAGGTGTTTCCATACAGGTAGGTAGTATCATTTAGTAGATAAGAACTAAAGGAAGAAATTCAAGATTTTTTTATAACAAATACTAAACTTTCTAGAGAAAAAAGTATTCTATATTAATATGTTATGTATGATTTCAAAAACTTTTTATATATAATTCTCATTTTTAATATTTATAATATATATAAATTATTTAAATATTTTTTATTATATATTATTAATCAAAATTTTCAATGTTTTAGTGTTTTCTATGTATTCTACGAACAATACTTAACAATATGGTCGGAAACACTGTTATCAATAGGTCTGTCTCTCGTTGTGATCTTTGTAGTAACGTTTTTCCTCACTGGATTATCATTTTTCTCTGCTGTAATTGTTTTTCTTACCGTATTGATGACAATAGTTAATATAGGAGGATTGATGTATTGGTGGAACATCACTTTGAATGCAGTATCTCTCGTAAATTTAGTTATGGTTCGTGTTAAACTAAATTTGTTTAACTAAAATTTATTCATTTTTTTTATTCTTAAATGAGAAATCTTACTTATATTATATATATATATATATATATATATATATATATATATATATATATATATTACTTATATTATATAATTAAAGAAAAATTATTATTATATTAATATTTAATATATAAACATTATATATGTATTTTTTTATTTATTAAATTAAATAATTTTTTTTGCATTATTGTTGAACGCTAAAATATATGAATTTTTACAGGCGTCTGGTATTTCTGTCGAATTTTGCAGTCATATAGTGCACTCTTATGTTACTTCTACAGCCATTACGAAGATTGGTAAAGCATCGGAGGCACTTTCTGTTATGGGAAGTTCTGTAAGTACATTTAAATATCATGAGAAATAAAAGCAATATATATATTTTAATATCGAAATTCGAAATAAGTTAATTTTTTTTAGATAAATATATTGAACTTATTTGCGCATTTTTATACTATAGGTATTCTCAGGAATCACTTTAACTAAATTTGTCGGAATTACGGTCTTGGCGTTTGCAAAATCGCAGATTTTCCGTGTTTTTTACTTCAGAATGTATCTAGGAATTGTTTTATTTGGCGCAGCACATGGCTTAATATTTTTACCTGTATTGCTAAGTTTTGTTGGTAAGTCATAGAAGTATGTAAAAAGCCTCCCCACCTTTCATTTAAAATTACTATACAATTTTTTTTTGCATCTAATACTATGATACGATAAATTATTATAGGACCTCTGAGAAAGTACAGTACATAGAAATGGAAATGCCACTTCAAGATTAATTCGTCTATGGATTATCTAAATATCATCATTAACATAAAAAATTAATGAACATGAATTATATTATTAATGATATTATTAAACTGAATATGTGGTTCTTTGTGTATTAATTAATGTATTATACTGTATGTGATCATGATCAATGTGTGTGAATCAAAACATAATTTTCCATCAAATATATCTCTTATTATTTATTCTCTATATATATGAAGTATAGATTTTCATAAATTTTTCTTAGGAAAAAGGAAATTCTATATATTATTCTTTTTATCTATTATACCGTTCTTTTTAGCTATAGAAACGCTGAAAAATATTGATATTTGTACTTATTAATGAAAAATTAGCAGCAAACTTCTAATAATTTGTAATGTTATTTAAAAATGATGTGGATACAAAATATGTAGCTCGAGATTTATCTTTCATTCCTCATTAGATCAATTAAATCAATAATTGATATATATTCTTCATCTATCATTAGATATATCTTATTAATTATACAACATTAAGTAAAATACAAATGTTTACCTTAAAACGCATTCAGTATTTTATTTCATAATTATTATGTTGTATAAAATTATGTATGATATTTATAAAGCTATAATAAATACAAAGTTAAACAATTCTGAATGCGTTTTGAAGTAATCATTTTATAAGAAGGTAAGCAAAAAATTATGGATTAATTCTGAATATAATTTAATTGCTTAAATTGCATGAGAATGTATCTATTTAGATGGATTACAATTGATTACATTCTTGTCGCATTTAGACTCGAATAATAATTTTTGAAAAATAATATTATAAAAAGCATACGAGTGTATAGAAGCATAAATAAAAAGAAAAAGGTTTTTGACACTAGTGATACTACTACTATGCAATTTGCGACTAACATTTTTCTGGATTTCCAATTCAAAGACACTCGCCTCCACGAAGTCGCAAAACTAAGTGAAGTGTAGATTCCTTTTGAATATTATAGTCAGAAAGAGTTCTGCCATCTTCTAGCTGTTTACCAGCAAAAATGAGACGTTGCTGATCGGGAGGAATTCCTTCCTTGTCTTGGATTTTTGCTTTTACATTCTCTATGGTATCTGAAGCTTCGACTTCAAGAGTAATGGTTTTGCCTGTAAGAGTTTTCACAAAAATCTGCATTCCTCCACGAAGACGCAAGACCAGATGAAGTGTAGATTCTTTCTGGATATTGTAATCAGAAAGAGTTCTGCCATCTTCCAGTTGTTTTCCAGCAAAAATTAAACGCTGTTGATCAGGAGGAATGCCTTCTTTGTCTTGAATCTTAGCTTTGACATTCTCTATAGTATCTGAAGCTTCTACTTCAAGAGTGATAGTTTTTCCAGTAAGCGTTTTCACAAAGATTTGCATTCCACCTCGAAGACGCAGAACCAGATGAAGTGTGGATTCTTTCTGAATGTTATAATCCGAAAGCGTCCGTCCGTCTTCCAATTGTTTTCCAGCAAAAATTAAACGTTGTTGATCAGGAGGAATACCTTCTTTGTCCTGGATTTTGGCTTTTACGTTTTCTATTGTGTCAGAAGCTTCGACTTCAAGTGTAATAGTTTTGCCTGTGAGTGTCTTCACAAAAATTTGCATTCCTCCTCGAAGACGCAGAACCAGGTGAAGAGTGGATTCTTTCTGGATGTTATAATCAGAAAGAGTCCTACCATCTTCAAGTTGTTTGCCAGCAAAAATCAAACGCTGCTGATCCGGAGGAATTCCTTCTTTGTCCTGGATTTTGGCTTTCACGTTTTCTATTGTGTCAGAAGCTTCGACTTCGAGTGTGATAGTTTTGCCCGTGAGTGTTTTTACAAAGATTTGCATTCCTCCTCGAAGACGCAGAACTAAGTGAAGTGTAGATTCTTTCTGGATGTTATAATCAGAAAGAGTCCTACCATCTTCAAGTTGTTTGCCAGCAAAAATCAAACGCTGCTGATCCGGAGGAATTCCTTCTTTGTCCTGGATTTTGGCTTTCACGTTTTCTATTGTGTCAGAAGCTTCGACTTCGAGTGTGATAGTTTTGCCCGTGAGTGTTTTTACAAAGATTTGCATTCCTCCTCGAAGACGCAGAACTAAGTGAAGTGTAGATTCTTTCTGGATGTTATAATCAGAAAGAGTCCTACCATCTTCAAGCTGTTTTCCAGCAAAAATCAAACGCTGCTGATCCGGGGGAATTCCTTCTTTGTCCTGAATTTTGGCTTTCACATTTTCTATGGTGTCTGAAGCTTCTACTTCAAGAGTAATAGTTTTGCCTGTAAGAGTCTTCACAAAGATCTGCATTCCTCCACGAAGACGCAAAACCAGATGAAGTGTAGATTCTTTCTGGATATTATAGTCAGAAAGAGTTCTACCATCTTCCAGTTGTTTTCCAGCAAAGATCAGACGCTGCTGATCAGGAGGAATGCCTTCTTTATCTTGTATCTTGGCTTTGACATTCTCTATAGTGTCGGAAGCTTCTACCTCAAGGGTGATGGTTTTTCCAGTAAGGGTTTTCACAAAGATTTGCATGATGAATCTAGAATAAAAGAAATATATCTAATTTATAAAAGTTAATTTTTTTAGATTTGTTAATTTCATTGAACTTATTAACCAATTTAAATTTTAAATGATATTGTACGTATTGTTATTAATGAAAAACTAATAATTGCATATTAAAATCATTGCAGCTATTTAAAAATATACAGTTTAGTTAGATTTAGAAAAAATAATTAGTTTAGAGAAATTTGTCACAAATTTATTAGGAATGTTACTTTATCCAATCCTTATATTATAAAGGTAAAAGTATAGGAAATATTTTTTTTACAAATTATACAATTCAAATCACAATGACTTGAAGAAAAACGATAGTTTTATAGCACATTCGATTCGTAATTAAAAGTTATGCTTTTACAAAATTTATACGTATATCTTAAGGAAGCAAATTTTTGCACAAATACTTTGCGTTATAATACTTAGGAACTGTTATAAAGATTTGTCCTATCTATACAATGACGTTTATGCAATAAGAACAAGAAATATGAAATCTCTCGTATACATATATTTGATGAAAAATAAAATTTAATATTACAAATCGCGTTGCTCTGTAATGTTTATAATGAAGAAATAATTTAAGGCTTACGATTACGAACCTAAAAATGTATAAACGAACAATGGATCGATGCGAAAGGAATTAAGACTCGAGAAAATGGAGGGCGGTGCCTCGATGAAGAAAGAAATTTCCAGCCGGCCCAGCAGCGACAGATTTTCGCGTATTAAGGATGTTCACCGAGTGCTTACCTGATATCGAGATGATTAGCAGCTATTGATTCGCAATCGAGATCGCTCTTTTGATAAAAGAAAAACGAATAAAAGATCGCGACAAACGACTTTCTCAAAGTTCACAGGAGTACTCGGCAATGACGTTGCAGAGAAGACAGGGAAAGCTCTCTTGGATTGCGTTCCAAAACCATTCTATCGCAGTAGCATTTGATCGACCAATTAGGATAAGAGGGACAAAGAGTTCTTTATTCTGATTGGTTGATCAAAAGGTACTGACGAGTAGGTTTTTCGGACGCAACCTTTAGCATGCATGGTACTGATCGATTTCATAGTTGACTTTTTTTTTCAATCAATTATCTTCCACAAGTTTGACGTGATTTCGAGAAATGTATAAATTGACATTTTGATTAAGGATTTTTGAAGTTTCGAGAATTTCTTCTTATAGCAATCGATTAGCACTGTCTGACAAAGTTTTTTTCTACAAATAAAATGTCAATTTAACATGTACATGCTGCCAGCAAATTCGATGATGAGTAAATGATTGATGCGCAGTGCGTCATCCAAATTCATTATACATCTTATAGAAAAGAGAAAATTATAAAAGAAAAGAAAAAAAATTTAATTTAACAAGCTAATATTTCATTTGATAGAGCTTGTTAAACTGGCTATCGATTTTTATTTTTGCCCTTATACTTTATAATGTATTGTTTACATATTGCTTATTAGTCAGCGTGAATTCTGATTGGCCTCTGCTTTCCCGTCAAGGTATGAAGTATGAATCCGCTCTAAAGACAGTAATACTCCATCTACAATGGAGGTAGTAAGCTAATAAGATGATGCATTTTTGGGTGATATCGGCATAATTGATATGGCGGACAATGAGCGATCGGCAACAATTTATACAGTCACCGATGAAAAATTGAACATTACATTTTTCGTCGGTGAAACTATCGAAGACTTGTGCATAAAGGTATATGGATGATCTTTTTTTTACTGTTAAATAAAATCAAATTTTCACTTTTATAATAAACAATTTTTCTGACATAACGGTTTCCGAGCCGAAACTTAGTGTTATGTATTATTTATATTGTAATATTGTTCCATAAATAACAATGTGTGATAACAAGTGTTATAATCATTAAATCAAAATTTGTAAAACAATATAACCTGAAACAAAATAGATATTTATCAAAAATCACATGCATTAAAGATATATTGTTAAAAAATGCAATATATTGAATGTTTATGTATTAAAATTTACACTAATTCTTTTTTAATAAATTTAATGATTGCATATTTTATCAAATATATTACTTTAGATTTGTATGTTTTGTTTTTTATTATTTTACAAAATGCTATTTAATTAATTTGTTTATATATAATTTACGAACTCTTAATATTTATTATACATATAATTTATATATAACATATATAATTTTTTTGATATTTAATATATAATCTATATTTTATTATACATATTTATTAATACCTAGATAAATTAATTTTTTGTTACACTTTCTTTTCACAAAATATAAAGTTTTTATTTCTTGATAAATGCAAAAATTATTTAATTTTTATAGATATGTAAACTCCTCAAAATAAGTCCAGTGGCGAGACATCTGTTCGCATTGCGAAATTATTCTTCAAAACTATGGTTGCCATACGGACACAAGCTCAAAGGCAGGGACAAGAACAAATTCGACTTTCGCATGAGATTCAAGCCACGGAGCATACAGAAACTAAAACAGATAGATGAACAAGCTTATGATTATTATTTCCAGCAAGTTCGTGCAGATATAATGAATAATAGAGTACCTGATATTGTCTATGAGAAGCATAAAGAGGAATTAATTGGCTTAGGAGTTAGTGATATGTACAGGTAATAATTTAGTGATATGTACAAGTAATAATTTAAGTCATTTAAACAAAAAGAATACAATTAACTTTTATATTCAACTTACAAATAATTTTTTGCAAACTTATTAGAAAAGAGATTTTGTTTCATATGATTGTTGAGTGATATATAGTGATGTTTTTTAATTGTTGTAGAGTAATGCTTGAAAAAAACCTACCACGGGAAACTGTAGAATCAGAATACAAGAAATATATTCCCAAAGAATGCATTAAAAGGCATGCCTTTTTTGTTAAGAAACCTATTTATAATGCACTGGCAGGCATATCTAAAGAGCATCTGGATGCTTCATATGTAAAAGAACAATATTTGCAGCAATTCGAACGTATGGCACCAAACTATTTATATGAAGAATATAAAGCAATAATGAAGCAAGGTGTTTCTAATAATAAAGATTCTAATTCAAAAGAAGATTCTAATCCACCAGTTGAAGTTTTAGTTAGGATTAACAGAGAGGAAATAAAATATTATGAAACTATTAATGATTGGAAAACACTTTGCACTATAGAAGATCTTTGTCTTATTTCTATAATGTATGTATATAATTGATATATAATTTTGTAATTGATATATAATGTATGCATATAATTGATGAGTAGATTGAATTTATTTCAATAAGATTATTACGTATAATAAAAGATTTTCAATGATTTAGTTTCTTAATGTAGAATCTTAGAATGAAGATCAGTGTTATCTATTAAAATAATTTTATATTTTTTATAATTATATAAGTCTATATAAGTCAAATATATCAGAAACAATTTTTATTGTCAAACTTTCATCTTTTAGACAGAATAACATTGTGCAAATTTCGAGAAAGAACGGCGTACCATCGTGTTTAGAATTCATGGAACATACAAATGAAATGTTAATGTCTTTTATATCCCTGTTGGATGGATATTACCGTTTGTCCATTAAGTGGACTTTCAATCTCTGTAATGATGTTACCACACCTACCCTAGACAGATTACATAAGTTAAGGTGCCATGGACCAGTTGGGTAAGATAACATTCCACAAAATGACATAAAACTGTTAATAGCTATATTTTAGTATATGATGTGTAATATTACAAAGGATCTTCTCAAAACTATTTTAGAAAAGAATTCTCATGTGCAAAACTCAAAGAAAAACATGCCAATAAACCAGGAACTTATTTATTACGGGAGAGCGAAACCGAGTATGGTGTTTACTACATTGATTTTTGTAATAAAGCTGGGAAAATACAATCACAAAAAGTGGAACAGATTGGTTCGAATGAATTTTTATTATCAGATTCATGTTCACAGAGCTACCGTTCATTGGGGCATTTAATTTCTTCATTCCAAGATCCCGCCAATTCATTGTATCTTGAATATTGTTCACCACCTTCAGAATATGGTACATACAATATAAATTAAACATTAATTGAACATACAGGGAGAAAATCGAAATTTTAATTGTTTCTGTATATTAAAAATGTTTTTTATTTTATTTTATTTAGATATATCACCATTATTAATTTGCGCTTCGGAAAACATTACGAGTGAATTAGTGGCAGCCGAAGAGATAATTGCTCCTCTATTGGAAGGTGGACCGCGATGCGTGTCACGGAATCAATTACAGATAAATAGAATGTTCTGCAAACGCAACAAGAATTTTACTCCCACCACGTCAGCGACGAGTGTATATCTAGCGACATGGCAATTCGCTAAAGGCAAAGAACACAAAATTGCATTGAGGATACTCAAGAATAATAGTTATACTGAAGAATTTCTAGAACTAGTTGATAAGTGGGGCAAATTAAAGTCGGATTCTCTGATTAGGTAAATAAAAAAAGAAAATTATATATTAAAGAAATAAATATAACATTCTTGTTTTGTTTTTTTAGATTATATGGCATAATTGTTGCCCCATCAATTGGAATGTTATGCGAATTTGGGAAATTAGGTCCATTAGACGAGTATTTGCGCAATAACTCTGAAATTATAGAAACAGCCGATATGGTCGAAGCCGCTGCCTGTCTGTCAACAGCTTTATGGCACTTGGTAGGAGAATAATTTGTGTGTTTGTATGTGTTATTTAATATTTTAAGTGTGTTATTTTAATTTTAAATTTGAAAATTATGATATAGGAAGAGAATCGTGTAGTTCATGGGAAGATAAGGTGCGCGGGAGTTTTCGTACATATCCATATTAAAAAGGTCAGTTTTATTGTTAAATTGGGAGATCCTGGTCTTTTTACTTACACTGAGAATGAGTAAGTTGACAAAAATAAGTCTTGTTTAATTACATTTATCACTCATTAAATCGCTTAACGTTTATTATAATTGTTTTTATTTTTTCTTTTATTTTATGTAGTATACCTTGGATACCACCAGAATGTTACGCAAATCTAACATTTGCAAAAACAAGTTTTCAAGCAGATATGTGGGCACTAGCTACAACCATGTGGGAGATATTCTCCAGAGGGAGTTCTATACCTATATATCCTAATGCTGATACTGTTAAAAAGGTATATTTATTATAAATAAAAATATAATTATTATAATATTACTTTGTACTAACAGAAATAATATTTATAAAATTACTTCTATATTAGTTTTTCATAAATAAATATTGCAACATAAATATCTAAGTAAACTGCATTTTCTTACAGTTTTATCAATATGGAAAACATTTACCGCAACCTGCTGACTGTCCGAGTAAAATCTATAAATTGATGTTGGAATGTTGGAGTGAAAAAAATACAAGGAAACAACCTCACGCCATTATGCGAGATACAAATGATATTTTGTTCCGAGAATACAAAGTCCGTCCTCATACTTACACTCATTTGACATTTCCATCCACAATCTCGTCTATAATCTCTACAATTGCCAATGGTGATAAAAATAACGATAGCAACGATGATTTAGAAGAAAGAAGATTAAATAATGAATCGCATACGAATAATTTAGCCACTGATCGTATCAATTTAATTTGGGATGATCATAACGATAGTAAGTTATTAGATTTAAATAATTTACAATGATAAAAGTAAGCGATATTATTTTGTGCATCTAATATTTATACCATGAAATTACATCTCCATATCTCAACCTAATTATTAGATTATCATGTTTTTAAAGGATAGAAAATTTGTGAGTCATTGCAACTCGTATATAAATATTGAATTTTATAATATATGTAACTAATTTTAAAATCTAATGTTGGTTATATAAAAATAAAAAATTAAATTATTTTTAAAGCTTCCAAAAGACAGGTATACGATGATCAAAATTCCACCAATACCAAGACATGTCAAGATATGGAAGATATCTCACTTTATTTTCACCATATATGTAAAACCATGATGACCAATTGTGTTCGGATTTCGGACGGTAGTGGCAGTTCTCATATAAATCGCGATATCATTGATGACATAGATAAAAACTTTCTCGGTGAGATGGAGGAAAACGGAGAGTGGCATGTATTTAAGCGGGAACGCATAGGTCAAGGTTTTTATGGTGAAGTATTCAAGGGTATTAGGACCAATGCGAGGAACAATGAAGTACAGGAGATAGCTATCAAAATGTTAAAGACACAAACGAATGATTTTGAAAGAACGAATCAGAACGATTTTGAAAGAGAAATTGAGATCATGAAGGTGAATCAAGCGTCTTAAAAATCAAATGTTTTCATCCTTCAAGAATTACATTATGCAAATCTATCTTAGAAATTTTCACAATTTTTCATACACTATCGTTATAATACTAAAATAGTAAAACTGCATATATATTTCTTATCAATAACCATATCAATTTAAAAAGAATATTAATTTAAAAAAATATATGCTATATGTATGTATGTGTATACACACACACACACACACACACACACACACACACACACACACACACACACACACACACATATATATATATATATATATATATATATATAATATAAATCAATTATGAAAAATAATTAAATTTCCTATTTAATTTTACAGACTCTCAAGCATCCGAACATTGTAGAAATTCTGGGCAGTATATTAGATCCAGAAAAATGCCTGATTATGGAATTTGTCAAGCACGGCTCGTTACAGCAGTATTTAAATACACATAAATCGACTCTGACATCTAAGAGATTGCTATCTTTCTCGCTGGATATTGCCACTGGAATGGACTATCTTGGTTCCAAGAATATTGTTCACAGAGACCTAGCAGCAAGAAATATCTTGGTGGCAAGCGAAACTCGAGTAAAAATCAGTGACTTTGGTCTTGCACAAAAGAAGGGCACGAACGATTATTATTACATGCAAACCCCACGCGATCTTCCAATGAAATGGTACTAATATAGTAAAAAAGAAAATATATTAATCTCTATTACATTATTTACTTGCTTTTCACTTAAATAACGAAATAATTTTTCAAACATAATATTTTTTTGTCGCTGATAAAACTTTTATTGATTGTAAGGCGGAGTTATTCTTTCAAGTAGCAATTTTTGTATCTCTATATCTGCCCAATTGTATAGAATGGATGATTTTTTAGGTATGCACCAGAGAGCTTAATAGATGGTAAATTTTCATCACGCTCGGATGTATGGTCCTTCGGTGTAACAATGTATGAGATCTTTAGTCTTGGCAAGGATCCGAATTTGCCACAGACTGATCTGGATAAGAATACTATGGAAAAAAGAGATGATACTGACAAAACTATTTTCATAACACTAGTGGCTCCGTTACAAAGGGGCATTCGCCTTCCTTGTCCGCCTAAGTGTCCACAAGAAGTGTATAGACATCTGATGTATCCATGTTGGAATTTAGAAAGTCATAAAAGGCCATCGTTTGCTACTCTGTGCCGAAGCATCGAGGAACTGTTAAATAAATATTAAAAATATTTCATTATCTTCATTCACGTCTTTACGCGTGAATTGCTCATATATTTTATTTTAAAAATATATAGATATCCTCCGATATTTATGGACGATTCTTAATTCTTATAAGATTCTTTCGATAACAAGAATGAAGTTGATTTATCTTTCGCAAGAAATTTCTTTATAATTTCTCTATTTCTCTATTTCTCTATAAAAATAGTTTGTCCCTTTTTTCTCTCCATCCGAGATTTTTTAAGGAAAACACTTTATAAGAATTAAAGAATTTCTGTTATGAGAATTAAGAATATTTCCGAAATATTTTTTTGTAGATAGAATTTATCTAGTCGATGGTTTTATATTGTGTGAAATGTATGTCTTGAGTATTTTATTTTAATATATCTTTTATTGAATATTTTATTTTCATATATCAGACTTTTGCTTCAACGCGCGTTTTATCTTTTTTTGTAATAATAGAAAAATAATCACAGCAAAATAAATAAAAAACAAGAAAAAATAATTTTGAGTATAAATATATGTTAAAATATTTGATTACAACAATTATCGTTCAAAAAATATTCTAATGCTTTTTATCCTATATTATTAACTGAACATTATCGTACTTTCTGCTTTGCTCGATTCCTTCGATATCAACGAACTCTCATTTTAATATTAAACATATTTTTCTCAGACATAATTTTTTGATAATATCGCGAAAATATAAGAAAAAAAAATATGAGAAATATCAAGTGTAAGAAAAAAGAAATACAAAGATATAACAAAATTTTGATTTTATTGATAAATTTTCTTAGATTCTTTGAAATAAACGAAACATTCCGAACAGCCCTATTACGAGTTGAACAGATTTTATAAGTTAACGGATTATGGATTATCTTATAAAAATGAATGACTTATTGAATTGATGAAGACTATTATTATCTTCTATATTTGTTCAACTAAATTCTGCTGATACAATTCTACAATTTTAGAAGATTTAGATTTTTCTCAGTTATATTAATATTAAATATTATCGAACTATATACATATATAAAGAAATTAAAACTAGTAAATGAATATTCATCATTTTATACAAATTGTCATATTAGATTATACAAAAAATATAATCGAACATATGATTATACTTTCTATTCTTTGTTTTTTTATCACTGATTAATAATCTTTTTCTAGCTGTCGAGCATTTTTATATCTGATAATACGGAGTTTGTAATATCGACAATTTTGTGATATCGACGATTGCATTTTGATTAGATATCTTAAACCATATTCACATATCAGACATATATTAAACTAAATTTGATTATCATTATTCTCTAATATTTTAAATTCCTTACAATATATTTTTCAACACGTTTTAATATTCCGTATCATTATTATTTTATGGCTATATAAAAATACACGTGCGTTAAATCTACTTTTCTCTCATGTATTATTTAATAAACAATTAAAAAAATCTCAAATTTAAAAACAGAAATATCTTTTCGGGATATGAAAATATTTGGTATAAAATAATATTAAAATAATTTACATAAATAGATTTCTTGATGAAATTAAGATAAATATTATATTTTTTAATGAATATTAAATATTATATTTAATATCAATTGTCAAATTTAATTTGAAATGCAAAAAATACATAAAATATTTTGTCTAAGTTTATATTACAAAATATTAAATGGTTCGAGATGATATCAAATTAATTATTATATAGTAATTAATTAATTCTATCACTTTTTTTATTTAAAAATTATTGTTAAGATTATCGTCTTTTTATTTTATTTTATTATTCGACCAATATGAGTTAAACGAGAAGACAGTAATGAAAAATGTTTCTTATGTTGTCGATTTTCTGTTTGAAATGCAATTGTAATAAATCGAGAATAATTCGTTATGATAGTTATAACGATTAAATTTCGATAATTTAATCGTTATAATTTTTGCAATTATATAGGTTTTTATATTCTTCGCGATGTATATACATATATTATTTTAAGTAGAATAGAAGCATGGTAAAGTTAAACATTATAAAATATAATATATAATAAAATATAATATATAATATATAATAAACATTATAATATATAATAAATGTTTTATTATAATCATAGAATTATACAATAATTATTTCTATAATAATTGTGTAATTTTTCTATAAGAATAAAATATATTCTGTTAAAATATATTTTATCCAATGTATTAAGTTTATTGTCGATCTAATATCTGTAGAATTTGAAATTCGGATTAAGATTGCATATATAAAACGTAAGGTGTCAATTAAAATAATTAGTCAATATAAAAAATATAGTCAATATAAAAATAATTAGTCAAAATAAAAAGTCAATTAAAATAATTAAATAACAGATAAAAGTAATGAAAAGCAGAAATACATCAATTGCTTAAGTTTTAATAATTATTGATTTAAAATTCAAGAAACAATATTTTGCATATAATATAATATAACAAAGAAAGAGGATTTTATTTTATATATTTTTTAATATGTCGTGGTGATAAAATGAATCAATGAATTTTATTTTTTGTTTAGCATTTATTTTTTTCACGATATATGATATTTTTTAAGATATTATTTAGATGCATTTCATCGAAATTTATCATGTAAACAATAAGTAAATTTAATTATCTTCTCAAATGTTATAATCCGCAGAATATTTATATCTTTAATTTCACTTTTATATTTATTCACTAATGTTAAAATGCGATATAGAGATATAATCCTTCATTTACAAAAAAAAATAAATTACAAAATTATATATTTTATATTACAAAATTTTATAATAAAACCCAATAGATTCATACCTTGATAAGAGAATATCTGGAAGGTTTATTTTGAAGGCAATATTAAGTAAATGACTCATGATAATATTATAAAAAACATTGTCAATCGCAAATAACTTATATGTATAATAATAAATGCGTTTCATGCATTGATTTTCATTCATTTACGCATTTGATACTTTTTTCCGTCGATTTTCAATATGTTGCGAATAATCGTCTTTTTTTTTGAGTAACAATTCTTGAGTTTCTATTTTGCTCTGATGAACAACTCGATTTAAATCGATTAAAATTCGATCAATTGCCGATAAGGGCAAGATGAAATAGTCTTCATTCAGTTCCACCTCATCCATATGTCTCATCCACATTATCACATCATATCTGCATATGTAGATAACTGAACACTGCGGCCTTCTTTTTTACTATATTTAGGAAGACATACCTGTATATGTCCGGAGATAAAAGTCAGGACAAATACGATTTGAGTTGATCCTATACATCAATTTCACATTCTTCTGCTTCGATTTTATAATCCTCCCTCGAAATTACCTCGTCGAATCGATATATTTTCGCGTGGCATATTATTTCGCGATCACGAAATTAAGAAGTGTCGTGCAAAATATTGTGAATGTGTTCATTTGCTGACTCTATTTGTAAAATTGAGAATTCGGATATACTGAATTTACAGATACAACTGCGTGAAATTGTATATCTTACGTATTAACTAAAAAGAAGTACATGAAACTGATATACCTGTTTTACAGAGATCTCCATATTCACAGAAATTACTCATGGAATATTAAAATACCTCACGTTTTCGTTCGATTTTTCTATTGTCTTGGAACTATAGAATGTCTTCACGAAAAAGAGATACTTATTTTCTTTCCCTCTTATCTCAATGGGAAATTCATTAAATCAAAATCATAAGTTAATTTGACACAAAAATTCCACCGACATGTCAATTTTTTATAATCTAGTCATAGGTAAATATCAATTTATCTATTTATTTATTTATTCAAAAAAGCACTTATTCGCATATTTCTATTTTGAATTATTCTTAAGAAAGGTACTCTAAAAGTATATTAAAGAATCTATTATTATAACTAATAATAATTATTATTGAATTATTTTCTATCATAAAAGAAGTTTATCTGGTGATTTTTATTGTCGTATATTGTGTTAAATTACTGCTTTAATATTTTCTTCTATTCCGGATATTCTTTCTTTTGCTGGTCGCTCTTCTCATATTGTAATAGTCGAAGAATATTCGCGATACTGCCATAGCGAGGCAATCACACGTGCAAAAAACTAAATGTATGAAGGCAATTTTCTTTCGCAGAGTACTGATGTTTTTCTTCTCATGTTTATTAGTCGAATATTGCACATATACTTCTGATCGATACTCTAGACGCCTCTCGCTATCATGTCAAATGCGTGCATTTTTCATAAATGTAGTACAAGAATAGAGAAAACAAGTCATAAAAATGGAGAAAAAACGTAAAAGATGGGAACAATCGAGTGTTACCCTAAAAAAGGAATGAAACGACTATAGTAATAAAATAACGATCGATGATGAGCTCGTCCTCAACAATCAGTTCTTCTAGATTCTTCAAAATAAATGGAACAGTCCGAACATTATTATAAGTTGAACTGATTTCTCGGCTATTGTTCTTATAAAAATATATTTTATTATTATTTCATAAGAATTGCATTATCACTGTCATCATGCTGTCATTAGTATTCAGGTAGCGGATTTTGACGGATTTATACTTTTTTTGAAACTATATAATTATTATAAACTAAAGAAAGATTTATAAATAATAATATAGAATTGAAACTTTATGATTAAATATGACTGCTTCATTGAAATGATTAGATCATAAGAGAAATTTAAAAAAATATATAAATATAAATATTCTATAAATTTCGACAATTAATTATACCTATCTTTGCTCTTATAAAAAATTAATAATATGTTTTCAGCTATTCACTTTTTTATACATAATATGAAGTTTATAGTGCTTGTGAGACAAATATTTGTGTCTACATTACATACCATATATAGGCAACTGTCAAATATTTATAATGGATAAAGTAAGTTCGATCATTATTTCTGTTTTTAATATTTTTAACTTACTATAATGTATCTCTCAAATATATATAAGTACTTTTAAACAATTATAAGGAATTTTCCTTTAAAATAAATTTTATAAACTTTATATGTTAATATATTAATTTATATTTTGTATATTAATATATTAACTTTTTATATGTACATGATCTATGTGATATAATTTATATGTATTGATCGGTATTCTTGATATTTGCTAAAAATGTTCGTATTTTTCAAATATAATCTGATATTCTTTCGATCATCATGAAAATGGAAAAAAGCAGAAATATATAAAAAATATATATAAGTTGAAAAGAATATATATATATAAAGATTGTATCGAAATATAACCTTTAAAAAAGCAGTGAAACAATTATAACAAAGCAATGATTGAATATAAATTCTCATTCAATGGTCTTTTTAAAAGTAGATGGAACATCCTGAAAAGCGTTACTACAAATGGAACCGATTTTTCTTACTGGCCACTGGATTATGGCCTTATCAGAGCGTATGGAGCGCTCGTTTAAATAGAGGCATTAGTATTGTTATTATATTATGTATGGTATTTGTTCAGGTATAATCGCAGCTATTCTTTTTTATTAAATATTATAAATTAATGAATTTCTAATAAAAGGATTTTAAATAGTACGCAACAAAATTAAAACTATAACTAATTATTATCTGATTATTATACTAAGTATTACTCCATTAAAATAAGTTTGATGCTCTGATCTAATTATTGACACACTTCCTATTGAATTTTTTATAGTAAAGTCTTTCATTTTGTTATTCTTTAAAATAAAGTTTATTATGAGAAATTTAGTCAAATATATTTTGTCAAATATGTTTTGATTTCTCTTAAAAAACAATTATATTTATCTCTTCGCTCTTTCAAATATCTTCGTTATTAAAAATTAATGTTTTCAGCTAAATAGCATTTTCACGATTAATATCACTAGAGAGTTTATGGTGATTGTGGTAGAAGTACTTGCAGTTACAATAGGAATATTATACCACTTGTTTGCACATATGAGACACATAGATAAAGTAAGTAATTAAAGTTTGATCATTACTATCTTAATATTCTTAATGTTTTAAATCTCCAATATTTTAAATCAATAAAACATACAGTTTGCATGTTATTGTTAATATACGTAAAACTTAGTTAATTAAATTTTCCTAAAATATAATTTTTATAAATTTTACATGTGTGTGTATATATATATATATATATATATATATATATATATATGTGTGTGTGTATACATACATATATATATATATATATATATATATATATATACATATACATAAGGATAGGAATATCTTAACACATGAATTTACATATATATATATATTTTTTTCCATATATATATTATATATTAATACAGTCTTATTGCCGAATGTACATGCATGTATTTATGGACATATTTTATTAAAACAAATAATTAGTTTGATTCTGATTATGTCATCATTATATCGTTATCTTTTTATCATCGAATACTGTGAACAATATTTATAAATGAAATACAATATTTATGAATAAAATAAAAAATTCCTTATTATTATTTTATCATTAATATTCATTTATTGCGCTTTATTTATCTTTTAGTATAAACAATTATTTGACCATATGTGGCAAGACTGGGCTTTGCAAAAAACAAATTATGAGATCAGGATTATGCACCAATATGCTAACATCACGAAATTAGTTACGTTCTATTACGCGCGTAAGAAAAATATTAAATTATTTTATTATCAAAATAAGTTTCTACTTGTAAATTCAAGACTATGTTTCTATATGAGACTGTAACTGACCATTCTTTTTATACTTTACATTAAATTATAAATTCATTAAAAACTTTCATTCAAGACTAATAATCGGTTATAATAAAAAAAATAATGTTAGTAAAGTAATCATATGTAATCTTCAATATCACTTATGCTTTACATTGTATATATATTCACTTAAATCTTATACCAAATCTTATACTTTAATATCTTTTGTTGAAGAATCTTCTGTAAAATGCTCATGTTAAGAAATTAAAGATTAATGTAATTTCAGAACTAAAATTTATATTTTATGTGTATGATTATATGTGTATATATGATTGTAAAACATTTACAATTATCAAAATTTTCAGTTCTAATGTACGGAGTTGAGGTTACATACTTTACATGGCTATTCATGCCAGAAATTCTCGATGTTGTATCGCCCTTGAATGAATCACGGCCGCGAAAGCAGCCTTTTGATTATAATTTCTTTATCGATGAGGAACAATATTTTTACTTTATTCGATTCCTCATATTCATCGGATGTACTTTTGTACCAATAATTTTTCTCGCTACTTCTACTCTGTTTCTAGCTTTCACGCAACACGTTTGCGCAATGTATAAATTATTAGGGTAAGAAATTGATTATTATTTTGAAACAGATAGTTTTTATATATTGTTCAAAAGAAAATTATATGATTTGTCTATTAAGTTTTGAATATATATTTCTTTCTCTAGTTTCTATATAAAATTAAAAAATTTACTCATTTTTCTTACCTTTTTTTAAGTTTATTTTAAAATCTTTTGTTTTTTACTTTTCTTATAGATAGTAATTAATCATTTACCTTTTACTTTCGTTAGTGCGACAAAAATTTATCCAAGTTTGGCCATATGATAATATTAGGGTTATTTTGATAGGCATCGCGCGGAACACTTATTTTATGTCATTGGGAGTACAGCAGAAATCGATTTAAATCGTAAAGCAAGAATAAAATGTGAAAAGATAGCAATTCTTGTACGGATGCATTACAACATCATACAGTTCGTATTTTTAATTAATGTATATTATATATTTAATATGTCAGATATATATTGATTAAATATATAATATTCTTTTGTAGTATTTTCACGAGTAATATTATAATTTAGAAATAAGATTTAGGAGTAATTTAACAATAACAATCTCTTCGAATGTTTCCGATTAGTTCCGCGTCGATTATCGAGTAAAATTTTCCTCAGAGATTTTTTTATTTCTTAAATGACATTTTGGAATATAATCTAAGAAATAAAAAGATTCGTTATTAGCGTTAGTTATTCGTACTAGCATTCGTATTAGATAATTAGATAAATCATATGCGAGAAACATTTGAGAAATATTTTTTAAGAAATATTTTAAAATTATTTTTCTTTAATTATATCCAAAAATAATATTTATAAGTTATTATTTACTTATATAATAATATAGAATATAATAATACAATTATAATAATTAGAATAATATAATAATATAAAAAACGAAGAAATTATGATTATTACTTGTCTCTTAATTTATAATTACAAAAGTTATAAGGTTAATCAAATTTATAAATAATATATGATAAATAATATTATATATGTATATAACATTACATATATATATATATATATATATATATATATATATATATAATTTTTTTACACGAGAAATTCTTTTTACAAGATTCATTGATGTAATCGAAACTTGTTACACAGTACCATTGCTAGTAGATCTCATAGGGTGTGTGTGTGCGTTAAGCATCACATTAACGCAGGTATGTTGAGCAAAATATATTGATAAAATATTTGGTTTATTACAATATTATTTAAAAATGCTAAAACGAGATCTTTTAGTTATCAAGTATTCTCAGCAATATGGAAATAGCTATTAGATCTATTGGTTTCTCTATTGCAACATTGTTTTATTTATTCGTATATAACTATATGGGACAAAGACTCACAGATATGAGCTCAACTCTATGTCAGAAATTGTAAGTATAATTTATTTTCTTAATAATATATACTTAATTATTTTTTAAAATATTTTAGCTATATCTTAGATAATAATGTGTTGATAACAAAACTTGTCTATTTAAGACAAAGAGGGAAAAATTATTATTAAATTTAATAGTAAAATGTATTAAAAAAATAAGAAACTACGTAATATAAATGTATTATTAAATTACTTGTACAAGATCTAATATATATATATATATATATATATATATATACATATACATATATAATACATATAAATTATATTTCTCTAATAAAATATATATTGTAAGAAAATTGTTTCAGATCTATTTTTTAATTTGCATTTCTATATTAAATGTCTTCGTTATTTTATTAATTAAAAATTGTTTAGTTGTAATGATTTCAAAATAAAAACAAATGGTCTTATAGATACAATTCTGCATGGTATGATGCAGTTATTTCCGAGCAAAATTCGTTATTGCTAATGATGAGACGATGTCTCCATCCGCTTGTTCTGACTGCTTGCAAGTTTTACGTTATGTCTTTACAAAGTTTTGGAATGGTGAGAAATTAGTATATATATATTTGATACACGTAAATCATAAGAACAAAAGGCAAAGAATATATGTTTTTTGAAGGTACTTCAAATGACGATTTCCTATTGTATGTTTATCAAACGAATTTAAAAACACCTCTACTAATTATAAATAATATAATAAAAAACTGTATCAATTATGTTTTAACATTGTTTTAATATTATATCGAAAATTCTTTTTAATAAAAGAAAAAATATTGTTGTTATTTTATAGTAAGTGTACATAAAATGAATGTAACATAATGTAATATAAATGAAATAAATTTGCAATACATTGACGGAAAATGTGTGTGAAAGATGTTTATGTACATAATTATATATAAAATTATGTATGAGATTATTAAGATTGATTAAAAAATTAATTAACTTCTTCGAATATTATATTATTTAAATTAACTATTTATCTGTAATTATATATATTTGTAATTTATCTTGAAGAATAATTTTCAATATTAATGTTTAAATGACAGTACATACTTATGTAAACTATAATCTTACATATTGCTAAAAATGAAAAATTTGTTTATCACATTTATACTTACATTAGTGACATCACAGCGCATGCAATGTTATTTACAACGTTAAATCATATTTACATACTTCTTTATTCCATAAAATATATACGCGAAAATGAGAATATAAATGTAATTATAAATGTTTTATGGATTAGAAACCTTAAATTTTTTTATATTACTTAAATATTCGAGAACTGATCATGAAATTCTAGAATTGCATGATTTTGCTTGAATCATCTATTGTTTCAGAAATATCTAAAATATTTTTAAAAAATAGCAAGCTACGACACTTATCATTAAAAATTTTGTTGAGAAGTCTAAAGTTATGTTCTTTACAAAATAACTCTCTGATTTTTTATCTTTATAGTTTATTTTAAACCTTATTTATATCTATATTTATATTTTATAAACAGATAATCTATCTACAGAAAATTCTCTCTCTCTTAATATTTTTTTCTTCTTTACTTACAGTATTATTACAGTATTACAGTATTACTTACAGTAATTTTTAAAATTACTTCAAAAAAATTTTAAATAAAAATTATTCAAAATAAAAATGCGATTTACAAAATACTTCTTATAGGAGTATACACTTATAGCCGTCGATTTCGTTCTGCATTATGTAAATACACTGTTTTATATTTCGGACTTCTTCTTTTCGCTATCTCTCATTCTGTATATAACAATCGAAATATAACTGCGATGCAATTACCGCAATGAAATAATCATGCGTGCGTGAAAAAGTAACGGTGCGGAAAAAACTAAATGAAGATAATTTTCGGTCGCACCGGATGTTTCCATTCCCATGTTATTACCCGAATAATACACGCGCGCTACCGATCGATTTTCTCGATGCCTCTGAAAGTTCTCACTTCCGCATTAAACATGTATTTTTCTTAAACATAATTCGCATCGATAACGTTGCAAAAATAATAGAAAAATATACATAATGGAAATAATCGAGACTCTAAAAAAGAGGCGAAACAACTATAGGCAAATAATCAACTGAACCATCCGCTTCAATAGTCAGTTCTTCTATATCCTTCGAAGTAAATGGAATATCCCGAGGAGTATTACTATAAGTTTAACCGATTTCTTCTATCGGTTACCGGATTATGGCCTTATCAAAGCAAATGGAGCGCTTGTTTCGCAAGGACTATTATTACTGTTATCATGCTATCAGCTATATTTACTCAGGTAGTTGTGATTTTGAAACATAAATATATACATATTGTATATATTTTTATACAATTAACAGAGATATATACATAGAATTAATAATTTTAATTTTAAAATGATAGAATTAAAATAATAGAATTTTATTAATATTATTATTAATATTATAATATTAATAATATAATATTAATATTATTTATTATATATAAAATAATAATATTAATATTATTTATTAAAATTTAATAAATAAGTATCTTACTATTTTATGTGAAAAAATAATTGTGATAAAGAATTTGATAAGGAATTTCTCATACATATAAAAAAATTTTGTCAAATACATTTCTATAAATAGTTGTCGATAATTATTAAGAACTTATTAGTAACTTTTTTTTTTTAGATATCGAGTGTATTTACATCCGAACTCAATATGGATTTTGTAATTGAATCATTACCAATGTTCGTGCCTACAGTAGGTAATCTGTGCCAGTTGTATTCACGTATTTTTTACGTAGACAAAGTAAGTTCCGTTCATTATTATACAATATGTTTCCAATAGTTTCATAAGCTGTAAAATAGCTATAAAATAAAAGCAAAACAAAGTAAATATATTAAAATAAAATAAAATAATACGTAGTAATAAACAAATTTGTATATCTATTATAATGTATAACTATTCACTTAGATGTGTTTTATCTCTTTTTAGATTAAAGAATTACTTGAGCATATGTGGAACGATTGGGCTCTGGAAAAAACAGATATTGAGAGCAAAATCATGCATCAGTATGCTAAAACCACGAGATTAGTTATGATTTATCATTCGCGTAAGAAATATACGAGACGTTTTAGCTATAAAAGAAAAATGCATGCGTTTCTGACTGTGAGATTCAAATTGTATTTTTATGTATGAGATAATCGAATAATCTTCATTATCAGCATCGGATATTATATTATTCATCACATAAATCATTTTCAACAAATAACAATTTCTTCTAATAAATGTTCTTCTAATAATTCACAATCATGAGTTTATATATAAAATATTCTTTATAATTATCATCATTAAATTAAATGAATATGAAATTCTCTATGTAAATATGATTATTTATTTGACACAATATCACTTTGCTCCTCATTTTGTCCGGTCTTTATTTTGATATTTATTTTATTCAATAATATATACTGATCTTTTTACATTTAAGACATTATATATATGTGTATATATATATATATATATATATATATATGTATATATTCACATTTTACATATTTAAATATTTTTTATAATTTTATTAAACTAAATTTTTCAGATCCTTTAAATTTTGAATATTATAGAAATAATGTTTATGTATATATTCAAAATTAAATCACATTTTGAATGTTATTTACGCTTAATATGTCATTTATACGCAATTTAACCCTCTCATTTGTGTTCCTCGAATATATATAATACAATCTCTGAACGAAAATCGTCTTATGAAGAAACAGTATAATTGCACATTCCTATATCGCATGCTATTTTTAAAATTTATATTTTTTCAAAATGGCTATTGACATAAAAATTACACTAAAAAATTTATATCTACGATAATTTTCAGTTTTATTATACATCATTGTAACGGCAATGGCTATATCCATGTTTTTGCCGGAGATTTTCGTTATATTGCCTGTGAACAAATCTAGCCAACGACTAGAAGCCATTCATATGGAATTTTATCTCGATAAAGAGCGATATATTTACCTTATAATGTCCTGCGTGTGTATCGTGCTTTTCCTTGTACCATTAGTTTTTCTTGCCAGTTCCTCTTTATATCTAGTTCTCACGCAACACGTTTGCAGCATGTGCGAAGTACTAGGGTAAGAAATTGCTCCTCGCAATTAATTTTTTCTTTAAAAGATTATTAGAAAATAGAGTGACAGCTGCTTTATTAATTCTTGCATAAATAACTTAATATATCGTGCATAATAACTTAATATATTGTGCATAAATAACTTAATATATGATATATGAGACAGTAAAAAGGAAAATGTAAAGAGGAATGTATTTTTGACATTTATTTTATCTGCAAAATAAATGTCAAAAATACATTCCTTTTTACATTTTCCTAATTATTTATTATTTTTTATTTTCTATTTTTTTTGTAAGTAATAGTTTATTTTTTTATTTCTTTCACTTATTATAAGAAAGATATTATTTTAGCAAATTCGATTGTATATACAAAAAAAGTAAAGTTACTGATAATTTTAACAGGTATCGCGCAGAACGCTTATTTTACATTATCGAGGATAAAGTGGAGGGTGAGTTAATTCGCAAGACGAAAATAAGTTGCAAAAATATAGTCGTTCTTGTACAACTGCATTACAACGTTATAGAGTTTGTACTTTCATTTGATTTAATATGTTTTATACATATTATCTAATACATTAGCACGATCTAATTTTTTATAAATAATCTGCGTAAAGAGGCAAAATTATTAAAAATAAAAAAAGTTAGAAAGTAATTATTGTGATAACTGAACAATGTAACTTTCACTTGCTCTTGTTTTATATAATTTTAATTTATATAATTTTATATAATTTTAATTTATAATTTATATTTGTTATATTATTATAACTTATATTTGTTTTTATATAATTATAATTTATAATGGAATTATTATTAATATCAATTTAAATAATATGAAGATCGCGTTTTAATATTGATTTTTTAAATCACTTTATATGTAATAAAAATTATATTAATAAGTTTTGTACATAATAAATTTTGATAATAAATTTTGATAATAAATTTATATAAAGAAATAATATTCTCTTTGTCGATTAAAACAATTTTATAATTAAGATAATTTTAAATTAAGCATTTGCAAATTTTTAATCATACAAATGTTCATATTTATTTATTTATTTATATCGATATACAAGAAATATTCTATGTGCCGTTTTAACATGTACATGACTTTCATATTACAAGATTCGTTAATACGATCGAAACTTGTCATACAATACCATTTCTAATGGACCTCGTAGGAGTAGTGATTACAATAAGTTTTTGGTTAATACAGGTATGTTGATAAAAAAAAAGAATGGAAATGTGTCGAGTTTTATATGTTATCAAAATGCTACTTTTTTAGATATTAACTATTTTCGAGAATGTAAAGCGAGCTTGTGCATCAATTGGTTTAATAATTGCATCACTATGTTATCTAGCTATACCTAATTATATGGGACAGAAAGTCACGGATATGACTTCTAGCATATGTGAGAAAGTGTAAGCAATATATTTCATAGTAACATGTTGAAAGATCTATACTTAAAGTATGTGTATGTACACACACACACACACACACATACACACACACACACACACAAAATAGTAAAGATGTATAAAAAAAGAAAAATTAAAATAAACTACTAATAAATATAAAAAAATATTAATTAAATAGGAATTTTTTATGTAACTTCTTAAAATTATCTGAAAATATTTAAGATAATAATATTATATATAAATAATTTTAAGTATCTATGTTTAAAATTATGATTTTGGCAAAAAAGCAACGATGTATTCCATGTAAAATTTGTATTAATATTTAATTAAATTAAAATTTTTATTTAATTAAATTAAATTAATTTTTTTAGTTTGTTAATCAAGAATTTTTTAATTTAACTGTTTTTACAATACAAGAATTATGGTCTCTTACAGATACAATTCTGCTTGGTACTATGCAAGTGTTTCGGAGCAAAAATCATTATTGCTAATAATGGGTCGACGATTCCGTCCGCTCGTCTTGACTGCCTGCAAATTTTATGCGATGTCTTTGCCAAGTTTCGAAATGGTAACAAAATAATATGTCCTATTTGTCACGTGCGAAGCAACAATAAAAAATAAAAAATATATGTTTTCCAAAGATACTTCAAATGGGGGTCTCCTATTGCATGTTTATGAGAAAAGTATGAGGATATTCGCTAACTGTAGATGCTGAAATAATGTAAAGAAAAGACAAACTATAGATGCTAAAATATTGTGTAGAATATTGTATTCAATACGCACTGATCTTATGTGCACTGATTAATACAATATCAAAAATATTTCTTCAGATAAAAAAGATATTGGAGTGATTTGCAGGTAAAAAAATATGTACACGTGTCAATTTGAATGTAATATGTATAATAATTGAAACAAATTTGTAACGTACATTAACCAAACATTATAATTTCTTATAGATAAATAGAACACATTAGAATATATAAAGTAACATTAAAACGAAACGTAATCTGTAAATAATGCAAACATAAAAGTTACTTAAATTATTTTAATATTATAATAATAAAAATGGTTTATTATTTAAAATTAAGCAATATTTTTAAAAATTTAAGAGAAAGAGAGTTTAAGAGAAAGAATGTTCTTCTCGCTTTTTTCTCAGTACTTTTCTCATACTTTCTACTATTTTTTATTTATGGAAAAAATCTATGTGTGTCTATAGGAGATACCTACATATGAAATCCTAATAATGTATCTATGACATAAAGTCTACGAAACTATTACGGGTTTGCTCTGTGTCTAGATATTCAAAAACTGATCATAGAAAAGCCAAAATAATTGACTACTTTATCGTTATTTATACTTATGTGCGAAATATACTAGGATATATTATTTTATTTCGAATATTTTTACCCTCTTTTTCGCTATTTTATTCTTTATACTCCATAATAGTTGAAAGATAATCGCAAAATTACCGTAGTGAAAAATAATTACGCGGAAAACTAACGCAAAAGAAACGAAATAAAGATAATTTTCACCCTCGAACCACCGGTGTTTCCTTTCCCATAATATTATTCGAATACCGTACGCGCGCTGTCAAATAATTCCTCGAACGCCTCTGAAAAATTTTTGCTTTGTAACAAATGCGCGTGCACTTTCCTTATAAATAATTCACTTGATAATGTCGCGAAAGTGAACCAAAGAAATGAATAATAAGAATAATTGAATAAAAGGGGGAATACGACTATAGTAACAAAGTGACGATCAATGATGAATTCTCAATTTAATAGTCAGTCTGTTTACATCCTTTGAAATAAATGGAACATCTCGTAGAACGTTACTTTAAATTGAATCGATTTCTTCTATTTGTTACCGGACTGTGGCCTTATCAAAGCGAATGGAGTGCTTATTTGATGAGAATTATTAACTTTGCTGTCTTGCTAATATCTGCATTTATTCAGGTAATCGCAATTATATATTTTATTTTCCGTATTATACATACATATGTGTGTGTGTATATAATTATATAACAATATTTATATAAATTGTTTCTAAATATTGATTAAAAAAAATTTTAAAAATTTTATATATTTTAATATTTAATTACTAAGTTTTAATAGAATTAAAACTTAATAATTAAATATTATAATACTATATCTTGTCGAATTTGTTTAAATTTGGAATTTATACTTGAGAATTTGATGATATTTGGAATGGATATATTGGATTATATTGGAGTTTAGTCAAACTATCTTTCTCGATAATTATTTTCGGACAAATATTGTCCATTCTTTCTTGTTTTTATCAATAATTAATAATATGTTTTTAGATGATGACTATTCTTACATCTGAACTTACTCTGGAATTCTTAACCAGTGTATTACCAATGATTTTACCTACATTAGGTTTCATGATGCAAATGTATTTACGTATCAGATTTATAGACAAAGTAAGCTCAGTCGATCATTACTTATATTTCATAATATATACTTAATATTTGACAGAATTTTTATTTTAATTTTTAAATATATATAAACAATTTTTATGAAATATAAATAATGAATATAAATTATACATAGAATGCGCGTATCAAATTTGTAATTAAGTAATTTCTTTATTGTTACTTTTCTATCACATGTAGAAATAATTATGCGAAATAAAATATTTGTAATAGAATAAAAATAACACTAATATGTCATAATAAAAAATAAATTTCTTTAGAATATAAATTCGATTGTTAAGATGCTAATAAATCGATGGATAACCAAACAAATGGAACGCAGATTTTTTTTATCTGGATTTATTTTCCTTTATATTTTTTAAATAACATGTAATCATTTATTGTTAATGATTTTATTTTTCAGCTTAAAAAATTATTCGAATATATGTGGGACGACTGGGCATTGCAAAAGACGCACGATGAAATCAAAATCATGTATGAACATGCTGAAACCACAAAATTATGGACGCTTGGTTATTTCAGTAAGAAAAATGTTAAATTTTGTTTTATCCGTAGAAAATGCGAATGTTTCTGCCTATAAAATTGCAGATATATTTCCATACATGATATTGCAAGACTATTGTGTTCTCTTCATTATCGGCAATGAATACATAGCCATAAAAAACTTATAATGAAAATAATTGAAAATAGAATCTAACTTTTTTAACAATTTTTATTAACAGTTTATGTTCAATGTGCTAGTTCAATTAAAATTTATATAATTTTTCCATATACGTATTACAATTTCTGACTAAGAAAAATGATTATGAAAAAATAGAAGAATATGAAATGTTAGAAAAATGAAATATTAACGTAGCTTTATTATCATTGCTTTCGAAATTTATTTTTGCCATATATATGATAAAAAATTTATTTTTGCCATATATATGATAAAAATGTGATATTAGAAAAATTTTATATTTTACTAAAAACCTTATATTTTATCGTATTTATATTAATCATGAAATTTTATAGGTTTCTACTATCTAGCCATAACGATATATAGTGTATGGCTGTTTACGCCAGAGATTTTGGACATCATATCGCCTATAAATGAATCCCGCCCGCGAATACAACTATCGTATATGCGTTTTGAATTGTTTATCGATGAAGACCGATACTTTTACTTTATTCGATTTTATATATGCATTATGAGCTTTGTCACACCATTAATATCTATGGCCTGTTCTACTCTGTTCGTGGTTTTTACGCAACATGTTTGCGCGATGTGCGAATTGCTGGGGTAAGAAATAACTCTTCAAATTTTACTATTTGTGCAAGAATAATTTATAAATTACTAATATAATATGATATGAATTAAAAAGTAGAATATATAGCTCATCTCTCTATGTGAATTACTATATATATATATATATATATATATATATATATATATAGTATCGAATAGTATATATATATATATATATATATATATATATATATATATATATTATCGAATAGTAATAGAAATATCATTTATGAAAATAATTATCATAAAAATACATTTTTCTTCTTGTATTATATTAATTTTTATTATTTTATTATTTTATCTATTTTTTTTTGCGATAATCAATCATTTAATTTTTTTAAAAGATAAATATATTAGAAAAAGGATATTAATCGAAAAAAAGTTAGTTATATGAGAAAAATAACTGGTTAAATTTGACAGGTATCGCGCGGAACGCTTATTCTGTACTGTCGGAAATAGAGGAAATAGGAAGAAATGCAATTTATTTTGTGAAACAAAAATAAATTGTGAAAAGATAACTGTTTTTGTACGGCTACATAACAACATTATAGAGTTTGTATTTTCATTCGACATACATATTATCTAATAAATTAATGTGCCCCTTTTATGAGCAATCTACATTTTACAATAACGGCACAAAGGCAGACTATAATATATATTTAAAAATGCAAAAGCTTTCAAGAAAGCAAAGTCTAAAAATAATAAGTGATAATTGAATAATGCTACTTTGTTTTTATATTCTCTGTTCTCTTTCATTCTCTGTTTTTATTGATTTCAGCCAACAAAGAAGCTATTCATTTAAATAATGCTAATCATAATTAATCATTAATTAATATTGTTGCATTTTTCTTATTTTATCATTCATCTATCGCCTAAAACTATTTCCTAACAAAAAAAATAAACATTGGTGAATTATCTAATCATAAATCGTATATTAATGTATTTATTTATATATTTTATTTTATTTATATATTTATTTTTACGTATCAAAAACATTTTTTTCCTCGCGTTATAATTTCAATTAACATTTATAACCTTTTTATATTACAAGATTCATTGGTACAATCAATAGTTATTATACAGTACCGTGTCTAATGGATCTCGTAGGATTTATATTATTGACAGGCATTACAGGTGCGTTAATATAGATATATTGATAATGAAAGCGTGAGATGAATACAATCTCGAAATGTAATAAAAATGTTGAAACAAGTCTTTCAGATACTATCTGCTGTTAAAATTGAGCAAGCTATAAGATCTATCATTTTAACTTCCATGTTGTTGTGTCATATGTTTATGCATAATTATATGGGAGACAAAGTCACAGATAAGAGCTCGAATGTATGTGAAAAAGTGTGAGTAGTATATTTTTGATAAGTATATTTTTGATGCCAATTTTTTAATTCTGAAAGAAAAACATAAATTAAAAAAAAAATTGGGACGAATAAAAAGAATCTTTTATTATGTAAAAAATCAACTTGTTATGAATTTATTTCAACAATCATTTATTCGTAAACTTATAAAAAATATAATTATAATTATTGCCAAATAAATATAATTATAAATATAATTATAAATATTGCCAAATATATTTACAAGATTTACGAATATATTTATGAATATATTTATGAATAATATTATAATTTTCCAATATCGTATAAATGATTTTCCCTAATGACATTACTTAATAAAATTATAATAAAAAAGCAAGTTTTTCTTATTTTATTGCTATATATTTGTTTAATCAAAATGTTTTCTAATCAAAAGAAAAAAAATGATTGCATATAGGTACAATTCGGCGTGGTATGATACACTTATTTTGGAACAAAAATTATTGCTGTTAATAATTAGACGACGTTCCAATCCGCTTGTCTTGTCTGCCTGGTTTTACATCTTCTCCTTATCGAATTTCGGATTGGTAAGAAAAAATATAATTAGTATGCATGAACTGACAATCAAAAGTAAAGAATACTCATTTTCTTAAGATACTTCAAACGGTGTTCTCGTATTGTATGTTCATCAGACAAATCTGAGGACATTTTTACGACAGACATAGAAATGTAGAAGATGTAGACTTTTAGCCTATGTTAATCTATGAAAAAACACGTAGTGATCCTATTTTCAATGCTATATTGAAAAATTTTCTTTGTACAGGAAAAAAGAATTTAATAGTTGCGAGATATGGGTAAGTATATATGATAAACAAAAAATATAAATTCGTAACAAATTAACAGAGTAAAAAAATATATAATTCTGTAATTGTGTTTTTAGAGTGATAAATCATTTAAGATAGCATTTTTTAGCGAAATATAAATTAAAAGTAACAGAAATGCTAACTGCAGAAGTATTGATGCTGGTTATGCTTATGTCATTTTAATAATAATAAAAAATAATGTGTGTATAACATTATACACATAAATTAAATGATTCTCGATAGCTACATTTGAATATATTTAAACGACATCGTAAGAGGTAAGCGATATCTTGACTGCGTTGCTGAATCTGAAAGACTCGCTCGTCTCAAACGTGTAGATGCCTTCGAACGAAATAGTAGCGAAGTATACTGCATCCTTCACAATTCATGTGAAGCTCTGATCGTTTCGATTCACCAAAATCGGCGAAAGGTCGGTTGTAAGTCGTGAGGTGGAGTCATAGCAAGCGAGGCGGCGTCTGTGGAGGCCGGTTTAATAACATTAATGAAGGAACAGCGAAAAAGAGCAAGACAGAAAGGGGACGGAAGGAGGCAGGAGAGAGCGCTCTCGTCCCCTCGATTTTCCTCGCTGCTCCTCTACCATTCTTTATCCTTAGAAGAAATAAAACCAGAGTTGTAAGAGCCGGATGATTAATATCCAGCCGACAGTTTGTGAAGCGGGCAGCCAATAAACGGGATAAAAATACTCGTGAAAAATAGCGCGCTCATTAGGGGTACAGTGACATCTGCGACTGCCTGACTCGCGCAAAGGAGCTCGAGAAGGCGGGTCGAGGAGAACGGTAGGGTGAGAAGATGAGGCAGAAGGAGAGGTACTCGAGAGCGGAGCGCTGGAAAACGCGGGGGGACAGATTTATTAAAGTAATGGCAGATTATTTTAATATTCCAATGGAAGTGCGCTCTATTCGCATTGTCTCGTGCAATTCAATAATCTTCACGTCTAAGCAACCCTTCTCGCACCCTGGAGGTGTCATTATTTCAGAATTAGACGCTGTCACTTTATTCTTCTTGTTAATATCTAATACGTGAAAAAGATAAATAGATTTGCCAAGATAAATGATATTGATGCTTAAACGATAGAATCTTCTATTTTGCGAATTGCGAAATTTGATCTTCATTTTTTATACGAAATTTTACGTATTCATGTCTCAAGCACCGTGTTAGATGTGAACCAATATATGTAGTATCGACGAGTTTGGCCAGGAATCCCGAAAAAGAATCCTGTGCTCCGTTTATTTGAGTTCGAAGTAGCTCGAATTAAATTTTTGTCGAGAATACAACGAATATAACGCAACTGTTGGCTAATGAAAACTATAAGTGTTGCTGCTAAAATAGTAATATCTGAGTAATCGATTTGGATTAATACGATTGCGATTTTACTTTTCTTATTAACATTTTGTTATTAACTCCCATATTTTCTTTTGCCTTTGTGTTATGTGAAAAAATAAAATCATGAGATTATCATATAAGTATCATAGGATAATAAAGGTTGGATAATAAAAGATACATTAGAGAACATAAGATAAATGGGGATAATTAACAGCGAGATAAATGAGTTGCAGTATCGTCTAATGATAAAATCAATAGTCATCATGAAATCGTTAAGAAATCACGACTATTAATCAAACGTTTATCGTAGAATTATTAAAAAAGAATGCCTGAAATATTTATCATCGAGGGAAAGGATAGTAATGTACTCATTCCCTCCCCTTTCCTCATTACACAATTAATTCTCTGATTATTTCCAATGTATGATTTTAATCAATACAGTTTAAATTTAATTTTTTGGCAATGACCAAAAATATAACAAAGAAATTTGTCATATAGTGTTTGAGCAAAAGCCAATAATAAAATTCTCCAGAATAAGTAAAATCGCAGATGCACATCGGAATAATTTTCTTCTTGGCATTAGATCGTACATGCTATCGTTTCATTTCGGAGTATCATTGCGCGAATCGAGAAGAAAGGAGCTTATCTTTTCATTCTTGCTCTTAGATTATTTCGGTCCATTTGGCAAAACTGAGAGTCTACTGAGAACGCGCCATTGCCAAACAAAAAAAATATATATATTTAAAGAAAACTTTATCAATTATTAGATATTAGATTGATACTAATCGCACAACTCGTTACAATTTACGTTATAAATTAGCTTTTATATTACTTGTAAGAGATTATGCCAGAAACGATATGTTGCAATTACCCCGCCCAGAGCTTAACGTACTCTATAACATACACTACAGCTATCAGCTGCCATTATAGGCATCGGGACTACGATCGCAACCATCGGAGCGCTGATATACGCCCGCCATCAAAATCACGTGCCACAAAGTGGTGCGATTGTATTTTTCTCGCAGCTTTTTTTTTTTTTATTTCCTACTCTTTTTATTTTCAATCACGACACGCGCGCGGCCCGATCGACCGTTCGATCGCGACATTGTACTCGAATCGGCCGGCATAATCTTGACGTATATTTTTCCGGACAGCGCGAGCGGTGGAGCCATGGTGGATGCTGGCCGGCACGGCCAGAGATATTCGTTAGGGGAGGGCAATTTTTAAAAATTAAACGTCCCACTTTATCGTTACGCGCGGCGATTAATAATAACGGGCGCGATCGGGCGCGAGCGAGCGCGTATCTTCTATAACCTTTCCGGGATATAAATCTGCGAAATTCTGGAATTATCAGGCGGCGGGGCATGAAAGGCTATTTCCGTCGCGCGGAATCGCGGGCAATATTTTACCGCCCGGGATTGGGGTTGAACGCGGGACACATCGACGTTTGATATTTTTATGCAGTGGCGCCACCGCGACGAGATTTACGAGGCAGATATGCGATCACAAAATGTCCGACACTAAATCAAACATGTTGCATCGGAAAACATCCGAAATTATTATTGGGACTTTTATTGGATCAACGGGAACGAAATAAACGTGTGACGTAACTTTATATTCCGTTTCTCTTTCCCTTCCCCCCCCCTCTTGCTCGCCGCCCTCTCCCCCTGCGCCCGTTGCGCGCGCGAGCGTTCTCTTATTCGATCTCTTGCGGAATAAAAGGCTAACTTTATGATTGATTCGCCTTTTTTACGAGCCTTTTTTCGTCGTACGTCAGTGCCGAAGGCGATGGATGGATCCTTCGTTCTCTGTCGATATCGCGTTCTGTCTCGTTTCTCGAAGCTAAATGCGCGATTCCATGCGAATCGCGGGAGGAATTTTCTTTCGGTTTGCTCATTAGCCCGTAAATGTGACGCCAATGAAACGAGGATTGCTTCATTTAAAATAAGAGGTGTCTCGTACGAATCGCTGCGAGAGAAAAATATTCCTTATCTTATTTCACAAAGATACTCTATAAGAGCTATATTTTAACAAACAATCTATTTACAAGATTTATAAGATATCTATTTATAATAAGATGTCTATTTATATTTAAAAAAATATAAAAACATTAAGCCTGTTTTCTTTTAATATGCACAATATGATGGTGGTCTTGAAACTCGCGTTATGGTTAGTCGAAAGGATCGTGTTTTCATCTTACTTTAACTAAATTTATTTGCATAATTATCTCGCCATCTTTTCGTCGAGAAAGACGAACGTATGAGATCTGACAAAATGATTTAGAAATCTCGTCCGATTACGAGAGGATTTAATAATAAAAGAGAGAACGTCAGAGAGCGCGAATTCCCAAGACCGCCGCAGCTTGCTGTTATTAATCGCGCTAATCGATTTGACGTTCGCTGATAATGCAGCGTCGGCGGGATATGCAGTCTCGTATATGCCGTGTCTATCTTTTATTGATGCGGCCGGCGCTGGCGCCGGCGTCCGACGCCCCGTAATTGAAGGGACGCCCTTTAACTGAATTTCAAACGATCGCATTGTTAGCGTTGCGTTTGCGATTGCGCGAAGAGCGTCGCGACGTCTTCCGCCAACGCTCACGAAACCGCTGTACGCATCCCATTCAACGCAATTTCATTCTTCTCAAGTGAAAACCATAGAAACTGTCCTATTATGAATTCTGATATTATCTCTTAATAAACAAGGAAGTATATTAATGATAAAAAATTGATAAAGATTAATGACAATAAGAAAAAATGAATATTTCATAATAAATCTCAGTAAAATTGAACAAACGATTGTGACATTATTATATTTTAAACAATAATATGAAAAATAACATAGAAAAGAAACAGTACATAAAATGAAATAGAATCTTTTTTTAATTTTTAAAATAATTCATGACTTCAAAAATAAAAAAAAAATTGTATAATTAATAATAAATTATAAAATTTGAAAAATAAACTCCAAACTCTAGATTTCCCTTAATTCGTCGGTTCTCTATAAAATAAAGCTCGACATCGTCCAACGATCACGTCATAATGGTGCGTGACACATAACTGTACAAATATACAGCGTATTTATAGTTATGCTTAAAATCGCGATACAGAAACGGAAATAGCCACTCAGTTGCGCCGAGAGAAGGGGGAGAAGAGAAGGAGAATCCTGCGGGATGAGATGATATATCGCGGTTATTGTCCATTAGGAGAGCCCGAGGTGGCCATCCACGTCACGAACTTACTTTACGATATCACTCTCCTGCTTTCTCGGACCACCGACTCGCTTTCTTTCTCTCCGCTCATTCTTGGCACTCACTCTTATTCCCCTTTGCTTCTTTATCTTTGCTATCATGGCTTCCTGTATCTTTTTTCCCTGCGTCATCGCCGGGATGCGAAAGTGCGCGCGTGTGTTTTATCCCGCGCCTTATGGCGGCTACGAAGAGATTCTTTGGCGATTAATCCGTCACACTTAAGGCTCTCTTCCCTTTTCTCCCTGCTACTAAAGATCGTTCTTAGTGTGTGATATTTTTTATAATTATGGTATCTTTAAAAGTAATCATGGATGAAGGAAACTTTCATTCTACAAGAATTTATTTTTATTTTTATGAGGC